AGTGGTTCAAAATTAACATTTGTAAGAACAAAAAATTTTTATTAATTTATTTTGAATACAAATAATATACCTCTCGCGAGGCACAATAGGGTAGGGAGTGAGCAAAATTAGGTACCCCAAAAATTTAGAGAAAAAATTTTTATCTTCCAAGAAACTCTTATAATATTTTAAATACTTAGATTTTTACTATCGTTTTAATAAACTAAAATCCTCAAAAAAAAATATATTTTACCGAAAAATAAAAGCAATATTTTTGACAACATGTTATTTACATGATTTGATTTAAATTTGAACTTCTTCTTGTACGTAAAAAAATTTCATGCGATCTGAAACACTAATAATTTTCCACCAAAAGAATCTGTAGTTCAAAATAATTATCAAATTTCTGTATATATTCTGGAAAATAGTCAATTTTAATTGATGAACGTAATCTTCAGTAAAGTTATTGTTTCCGTACTCAAATTTATCGAGAATCGAGCCATATATTATAGTTTTTTTTACATTCGTTAAAAAGGTACATCCCAAGCGTCACAAAAAAAAATGTTGATTGTTTGGGAGATTATATTTAACAAGAAGTCAGAAATTTATAATTGTCAACTTAAATTTAACAAAACATTAACAAAAAAAATTTGTGCCGCTTGGGATACGGCTAAAAATTTAGAAAAACATCGATAGGATTTCGTCGATTGTAAGGGTTTTATTTGAAATAAATACTACTGCTGACGTGGTAATTAATCAGTATAGAAAAATCTCAATGGGTTCCTTTAAAAAAAAAAAAAAAAAAAAGGATAGAAAAACATAAAAATAAATTAATTTAAAATGCAAAAAAATAAATTGCGTTAAAATAAGATAATGAAATCACAATAAATCAAAAAAAGTATCTTTCACTTGCTGCTGAAATCCTTTTTCTTTTTTATCACCTGTTTGTTTTTACCATCATTTGAATCCTTTGAAGGCAAGAAAAAATTCCACGAAATATTTCATTCACGGAAATAACGCTAGATGTCAGTCTTTTATAGGTATTTTATTAACCTTTCTAATCTTTTCAAAAACAGCAGATGTCGCTGTTCATAAGGATAATGACATGTGACTATACAAAATTTATTATTTTCTCAGCAGGAGTAAAACTATTTTTTGATTTTCCAAAAAAAAAAAACTGACATCTTTTCTTTTTTTAATTGCAGAATTGGGGTAAAATTTTTTACCAGAAACATTAACTTAGTTCTTCTTTCGTTTTTCACGTCTTTTTCTCATTTCTTTGTATTAGAAAGGAAAAATTAAAAATCCCGTTGGTTTTTTAAACTACATCGTCTACTAAAATATAAAAAATAAATGTATATTGGATACAGTTCGAAAAAAAATTAAATTTTATTAAAGTGGGTGTAAGATTGAGCAAGTTACATTAATTAAAATCATTCGGATGATAAGCAAACATTCTTTAAATCTAGTGTATCTTTACTGTTCCAAGTGGTAGCATCGTTTACATCCCTACTTCTTGGAATGCTTCACACTAGTATCGCCTGATGTCCGGCGTATATCCGTGGACCGTTGTCCCACCTCTACTCAGTATCTGCGCATTATAAAAAGAATCTCACTTGGCCGAAAGGCCCTCGAGAGCTGTGCGCAGATAAATATGCGGGAGGGGCCGGAATTCCTCACTCGGCTGCATTCCAAGACTTTTTCTCCCGGTTGGAACGGACCTCCTTCCTATTATACGATATCTTTCACATTCTGCTTCTCTTCCTCTTTCTCACTTATAATCTCAAATCGTTCTTGCTCTCTTTCTTTCTTTCCGTTTTTTTCTCTTTGGCTTTATACTTTATCTTTTCCTCGCGTGATATCTTAAATCTTTTAAGCCAAGTCAGTCTGTTTCAAAAGAAATAATCGTATCTATCTTTTTGTTTTATTTTTAAAAAACTTACCTTTCAAAAAGATTCGGGTGTCAGGACGATGTAATGTCAATTAATAGATATCAATATTTAATATTTATATTCACACAAACGATGGTCTAACAAACTATAGTTGAAATTAAAAGTTTTTTCCATAGATTTATATTTTGGAGTTTTCTTGTACATATAGAAAATTATTAAAGTTATTACTGATATCATTTTTTAAAATCCATATCAATTTATTCATGTATGGGAAGAAAATGAAAAGAATAAAATAAAGATTTTGAAAGAAAACCGTTTACTAGTTTTCAATGTAAATAATAAAAACTTTTAAAGTTGTAAATTTTGAATGTTAAAACTGCAAATTTGTAAATACAACCAAACTATTCTTTATTAATTGGAATTTATTTTCTTCTTTGGTTGTAATACAGTCAGAATTAAATGTTCTTCAAAATAAATGAGCAATTTTTAACTTAACTATAATAATAATTTTTCCAAAGATGAAAAAAAATCTGAAAATTTAGGATATATCTCACTTTAACCTTGACTAAATTTGGAAAAAGTAAATTATTAACAAAATCATATAAGGCACATTTCTTTAGCTCGTTCAATTTCCTACAACAATATGCATCATGTTTCTCGATACGTTGTTTGTAGGATAAGATATAAAATTCCAAAGTTCAAAAAATATTTTTCCCATGTTTAAATTAAAATTATTAATATTAACAGCCGGTCCCCTCTTCTTCTCGCGTCGTACTCACTGCGAGAAACGGTACTATCCTTGTTGCACTCATGATTACAAAGCCATTGCAGTTTTATGTTTTTCTTTTAAACAAATGAGAATTTCGAAAAAACTCTCTGTTACGAAATAGATAATTAAAAAGTCAATTCCGTAGCAGAGCATTTTTTTTTTTAATTTTTTTTTTGTCTAGGTTCTTTGTCTAGTTAAGAACTGAAATTTTAGTAGTCTTTATTTTGTCATTGTCTGACAAAATTTCAAGATGATTTGGAAAAAAAAAATTATCAACTTTTTTTATATATTGTTATTGAGTAGAAAATATGACTGTTAATTAAATAAAACTTACAACTCTGAGAAAGTTTAATATTGTGTACAACTAAACATCACATTCCAAGTGGTAAATTCTCATCAGCTTGAAAATTTATCACGAATTTACTTTTTCAACAGTTGAAATGAAAGTGCATAGCTATTGAAAAATAGAATTTCAAAAGGAAAAAATGTTTCAAATGGTTCCTGTTCTTTGTCGTGATGATTCTTTGAGTTGGAGTGGCAGAGAGATTGCTCTGGAATTCAGGAGTCGGACGAACAGTCAGGTTGTTCGTGGACCCCGTACGTCGTGCGTGAGAGAGCGCTTCGTGTATAAATAGCTCGGAATCCATAAATTGCTGTCGTTTATACAAGAATACCCAGTGCTCTTAACTCTTCCCACTCTCTCCATAATTTTCTTCTGTTGTTTTTGTTTTATTCATTATTTTTACCAAGGTAGTCTCGTTTGCTAGATTGAAAGGTGTATGTCACAGAAAGTGAAATAGAGAAAAATATTAAAGACATAAAAGATGATTTTTCATTAATCATGGGTATTTAAAAAATTTTTTTGGGAATTCATAAATCTGTAACATATATGTATTTATAGGAGCTTAACATTCCTAACTTATTGAGAATTATAGAAATTTCATTGATTTTTTGAGTTATTTATACACATGATGATAATGATGAGAAAATTCAGAATACGTTAAATATAATTATTTTTTATACAATGATAAAAAAATTTACTTTATTAAAAAAAGAAATTTTGAATTCAGCAAAATTTATTTAAGTTAAACCAAAGTCAAGAATTAATTTTTTAGTATAAAAGAAAGAGAAACAAAAATACTTTGAATACAAAAGTATCGTTTTCCTGCAAACTAAGCAAGCCTGTAATTATAATAAATTTTATACTCAGTTCAAAGATTATTACTGTTTTTAAAAAAAAGGCTCATATAAAGGTAAATTAGTTATGGGTTTAAAATGATAAAAAAAAATTTTTAGAAACAAAAATAAAAAATAAAAACTTTGTTCAATGATGAGAACTAATATAAGTCGAATAAAATTGAAAATAAGATTAGAAGGTTAGATTAAGAATTCGTAAATGTAAGGGATAATAGAAAATAAAAAACGAAAACATGCGGACATATTCAGAAATTCCATCGTGGTCGGTGCCATGATACCCGCAACCTCAAGGTCGATTCTACTACTACACTCTACTACGACGCAAATATCGCTGACCAGGTACAGGGTCGAACCGCGACCTAGTCGGGCCCTATGTCTACTTCATCTTACCCGTACAATAATGCTACTCTTTTTACCCGTCAATCCGCATTCTTTGAGCGTGATGGGTCCTCCAACGCAGCAATAAATATATACTATACATAACTGGTCCCCTCTTCTGTTTATTTGAATAAATTTTATTCATTTTTGTACTTAAGTGAACTAATTTTTGTATGGACTATTTAAAAAAAAATTTTTCAATAGTTAACTCCTTTAACTATTTATAAATAAAATGTTATTGACGGATAAAATAATTTTTATCTGGGTGGAATTACTCGGGGTATTTTGAAATAGCAGGGTACGAGCCTGCAAACTTGAGATGAGGTTTGTCTTTTTACATCGAGCAAGGAAAACGCTTGCGCACACGCGCGGCCAGATTGGTTGTGTTAGTTGAAGTGAAGACGAATGCGAAATGTTGGAGTAAAAGAGAAGAAACGATATCGTTACTAAAGAGTAAAAGGCAGAAAGGGATTTCAGGAATATAAGGACGAGAGAAGAAACAGAGATCAGTGAGAAGGAGTAAATGGAGAAGGAGTCTGGATCGAGAGAAGGCATTCTCGTTTGTTGTCCATCGGAGGATGTAGCGAGTACGCAAGAAGTGAGGGAAGAAAGAGAAAAAAAGGGGATCCCTTAAAAATTGAAATCCAAAAGTGGGGATTGGAATTTTGGGCCCACAACCGAACAGTCTGGAGGAAACCTTCGCGAAGATGAGGTGATCCGCACGACGTGGATTCACATTGCGAATAACTACTTTAAGTGTACTAATTCAAAAGTCACGTACCGGCATGGACCCACAGTATACATTGTGCGTACTTGTCCCAGCCCAGCAGTACCGTACATATGTCGATAACTACAACTTGGGCTACCCTGTCATTAATAATAAAAGACATCAACGCCAATATCATCAACGACAATATCAGAGGAATTACCATCAGTTACAACAACATCATCATCCACAACATCAACTCCATCAGCATCAAAACCAAAACCAAAAACACATATCTAAACACTATCATCAACATCACAAACATCATCATCATCATCATCATAATCATCATAATCATCAAAATCATCAAAATCATCAAGAAGAACAGATTTACGAAAATATTGTATCTAATTATCGAATGAGAGTGTGTTATCATAATGATTATGAAAATGATGAGCAAATTCAAAGGTTTTACTGGGAACAATGCTACAGGCAAAATGATAGTGACTCTACAGCCTACTACTATTGCGAATACGTAAGCGGCGTTTTTAGAATATTTTTTTTTTTTTATATCATGTATATATTAAGGTATCAAGGGAGAGCTTTCATATTCAATCAACGTTAATTATATAATTACCAAGGATATTATTTTGTTTTTCCTTAGAAAAGGATTACGGACAAAGCAATTGATAAAAAAAAAATGAGTGCAATTTTATATACACGGAAGTTATCTAATATTAACCTCAACCGGAAGCTGAGTTTCTTACTTTAATATTTTTAGATAATCACCTGAAAAATTTCATGCTCAATTTATACTTTTGTTTGTGTGATGTTTTTTATGATCTAATCAACGAAATTTATAAGAAATCAGCATTTAATTGTTTTCAGTTACTTTAAAGATGATCTTAGTAGTGACAAATAATTGATGCTAGAATAAATTTTTATCATGTTTTATTTTACATATTTTAGTTGTAAATTTTGTGATAACCAGTGTTAAGTTTGGTGATAATCAGTATATGAATTTATCTGTGCACTGCATTATTATATCATTATTATATTCATATAAACAAAAATCAAAAAGTTAATCTACACAGAAAAAAAAATGTTCTTGAATCATGTATATAATTTTGAAGAACTTAATATTCTTGATTTAAGGAAATTTTACTTAATTCAAGAGAATTTTTCGTCTTGATTCAAGACAATTACCCTCTTCAAAATTATATTCTTGGTTCAAGAATTTTTCTCTTGAATCAAGTTAATTTTTTTTTCAGTGTATATAATTTCTGTAGTTGCATCATATTAAAATATCTACTTAATATATTTTGAGTCAAATTTTTTTTATTGGAAAAAATAAGTGATTTCATTGAAATTCTGCTAAAACTAGCTTTAACTTCCACTACAAAAAAAAATTCTTGATATTTTTTTTTATATCTGTCGACAGAATTTAATAAAGTTTTTTTAAGTTCAAAAGTAGTAATTTGACTTTAAAAATCTCAATTGAAAAATCTGAAAATAATTTTAAGAATAAATTTTTTTTTTCTTGTAATTTTTCATTTATGTCTTAAAAATGGAGACATGGAGACTCAAAGATGGATTGATTGAATTCGACCGGATTTGGAGTAACATCTAAATATTTTTTTAATAAAAATCTAAACACAATTATAAAATCTATCAGTTTTATCTTTAAAATCACTTGAATAAAAAGTTAAAGCAACTTCACAATTAAGAAAATTTATAACTTTTGTAGTAAATACTTGATACATTTAACTAAGACGATGACATAATTAAATAGTTGTGGATTTCAAACCTGTTAAGTTGATTCAATGTAATTTAAGAAACTAATTTTCGAAGGCATATGATATTTAGGTTTATTAACATAATAATAAATTAAATAGTTTGAGAGATACATTTCATAACTCAATTTTTCAAATGTCACTTGATTTTGAATACCCAGGTGTTACAATTATCTTCAAACATAAAAAATAAATCGGTTAAAAAAAAAGTTCCACGTGTATTATTGATTATATTATTGTATAGTTTATGTGACTCTTTATCCATTTATGACATAGTTCTTAAATCTTTTGTGTTATTGTGTTACGCACGTATTCGTTAATTATTTACGACAAGTTCATTGATAAACCTTATAATAAAAAGTCTATATTTGTAGCTGTAAAAATCAAAGTACATATTATTCGTATTCTCAACATGGTTGATAACACAATTTAGTAAATTTAACAATATAAATTAAATGAAATGTTTTTATAGTAAAAGTACTATTTCTACATTATCAAGTAAAATGCATGATACCTATAATTGAGTGGTGAGGTGATCCAATGTCAAAGCAGATAAGATCATGGAAGACGCCTTTTTTAATTTCACTTTTCTTTAAAAAGTAAACTTTTAAATTATGTGTTTACATAATTTAATTCAAGATGTAGTAAGCTAAAGGAGAATACATAAATTATTATTCTTTTACTTGGACACAAGTGTATACTTGACTCTACCTTTGACAGCACAATTTGTATCGGCTTATGTTGAAAATACTCTATATCCTGATTCATCACTTCACGAATTATATAAAATTTTTTTTAATATGTTAATTTGCTCACATCTAAAAAATAAATTTTATGTTTTGTTTCAGGCAAAGAAAGAAATTTATGATGTCAAGCAACAGAGGCTTTGTTTAGCTCAAGATGAGTATGATCACCTTAATAATGCTCTCACTACCCTTGGAGCGTCACGTACAAGTTGTAAGTATTTGAATTCGTTTTTTAGTTAAATTTTTTTGTATGTTCTACATTATCCGTCAGAATCAACTTATTGAAAAAAAAAAAAAAAAAAATTAAATTACTTTTTATAGTGTGCTCAAGTTCAAGTTCTCTTAGTACAAAGTATGATCCTGATCTTCTTAAGTCTGACGTAGCTTTGGCAAGGAGTCGAGTATCAAGACTCAAGAGAGAATTAGAACAGATAAGAGCTGAAATGAACTGTACACAACGCGGAGTTGACACATTAGCAAGGTAATAACGTTATTGCATTATGTATTATTTTTTTATCGTACTTGGAAATAATTATTTATTATATATTTTACAATAAAATAACATTAAATATTTTTTTCAGTGTGGAATTAAAACTAAGTGCCCATCAAGGTGGTTGTTACAATATAACGGAAGCCCAAGCTATAATGACCGAGTTGAGAAATATTCAAAAGTCTTTAAGTTCTGGTGAAAAAGAAAAGGCTGAATTAATGCAATCCTTAGCGCAATTGAAAGATGAGCTAACAAGATTACAATTGTGTGAAAGTAGCCCAGATGCTAGTACACTGAGTTTACCACAGGATAAATTAAGTACCGCATCTCAAACAGATTTATCTGGTGAATTAGGATCTATTGGAACGAGATTAGCTGAAATGGCACGTATGAGGTTAGAATATGATGAAGCTCGTAAGCGAGTACAGCATATTCAACAACAGTTGGCTGATTTGGAGGAAAAAGTTACGCCGGGTCAAACGGAAAGTGATAAAGATAAACTTTTACTGTTTCAAGAAAAAGAACAGCTTCTTCGAGAACTTAAAAGCATTACACCACGTACAAGAACTCATCAAGATATGAAGAAAATTCAGTGTGAAATTCGTAAATTAGAGCAGGACCTTACTAACGCTTTAGAACTATCTAATAAAACTATAACTGATCGTGTACGTCTTCATGAAGAAAGACAATTGTTACTACAACAGCTACGAGATGCCCTTAGATCAATGACCATGTTAGAAAGTCAATTAAAAACCCTGAGTGCAAGCACCTTGTCTGTAAGTAGTAGTTCAAGCTTAGGAAGTCTCAGCACGACAAGCAGCAAAGGAAGCCTTAGCTCAGGTCTTAGCTTCACCGATATATATGGAAGTCCACAGTGTCTTGGTTCAACTCAACAAGAACGTCCCGTAGACATGGTAGACCTTCATAGACGCGTTGAGAGACTTTTACGTGGATCTGAGCAAAATCTAGGCAGCACAGGAACTCCATCATCCGGTCGGTCACAACCAAGTCTTTCACCAAGATCTAGTTTGTCCAGTGTTAGTCCTCCAGTTTCTCCTTTGTATGAAAATGCTCCTGTAGGACCGCCACCAGCTTATGAACAAGTAGAGATGCAAAGAAGACAACAACAAAGGCTTTTTGGAACTACTACTTCTCATATTGATCGTTTTCAATTGGAGGATAAATTAACTGAACTTCGAATTAGTCAGCAAGCTATACAAGAACAGAAAATTGAACGTCTTAAAGCAAGTCCACAACCACCTCTTGATATGCAATCTGGAAATATGTCTCAAGGTAGTGGACTGGGAAGGCCCGCTCATTCATTACCACAAGAACCTCTTTCACCTATTAGTGAAACACCACCACCTATGGGCAGTAGATCCAGAGCAAGCAGTTCGGGAACTAATACTAGGTCTGTATCTGCTGCTGTTTCGGATGAAAGTGTTGCTGGAGATTCTGGAGTTTTTGAAGCTTCCAATAGAAAGAAGCCTTCAGGGTTACTAAATGTTAATACTCTTGCCTTTGGAGATATGAATCTAGAAACTGCACAAGTGCAAATTAAATTAAGGTAAATAGACTTTATTTTCATACAAAATTATATTGAATTGATCTTTTTAGCATAATACGTATGTATTAAAATTTTTTATGATTATCTTTAGATATTCCGTAAGTGATGGACTTCTTCACATCGGAATTGAAAGAGCGAGAAATTTAGCAGCGCTGTTTATACCTGAAAATAGTAAAGTGTAAGTATTATTATTATCAGCAGTAAAAATAAAAGTAGGCATAAAATTGCGCAAAAAATAATTAAGAATTTTTTTTTTTTTTAATTATCATTTTATCTTGTTTTTATGCTATTACATTTTAGTAATTTTGTTATCCTTTTTTATTTGTGACGCTCAAATTTTTTAATATTGTCAAAAATACGTTTCCTCAAATAAATAGGTTTGTCTCTTAGTATCATTCTTTCCTACTACATCTTATGTACATGATAAATTATAAATACAAGTTAAACATTATATAAAAATTCATCATTAAAAATATCAGAAAGTAAAAAAACTTTTAGTTCTACAGTTTAATCTCAAAACTTTTCGCAATTTTAAGGTTCACAGACTTTGAACACGTTATTAATTTAATTTTAGTAATAAATAATTAATTTATGTAATCTATTTTCTTCATTAGGTACATCAAAGCAGCTCTATTGCCAATGCAACCACCAATCAACCACATGTGTTGTACAAAACCCATCGTGGATCTTCGTAAGCCAACATTCGGTGAGAGCTTTCCTATTGCTGTGCCACTTAATAAACTTTACACGAAAACATTGCAAGTTAATATATGGTGTATAAGCGATGAGCCTGAGGAGTGCTTGGTAATTTCTTTATTTTAATTAATCACTGAAATTCAATTGTGATCATTTAAAATAAGTATCTTATAATTTTGATTATTTTTTTAGGGATCAGCCCAAGTCTCACTTGCAGACTTTAGTCCTGAATCACCAAGCGTAAAGTGGTATAATATTTTATCCTTCCGTTTCATGCAACTGTCAGCATCTGATAGTTCAAGCACGAATACGAGCTCGATATCATCTAAACTCCCTAAACACGACAAACAAGAGTCAGATATTTCTGTTTATCGAAGTGGTGTTTCTTTACAAAATACGAAAGAAGAAAGTAGTGATGAAAGTACAATAATCAGTTCACAAACATCAACTCTTACAAGAAATCAAGGCTGCGATGAATTACAAACAGTTGTTTCTTTACGATTAGAAGAACTTGCTAATTGTTTAGGTAGTCCTGAAGAAGAAGATGAAGAGAGAGACAGTGACAGTGGAAGCGAAGATAGTGATGGAGAAGGTATACTGGTTGAATTTATGATGGATGATAACGTACTGGAAGATGTTCTCGAACATGAAGAAGAGGAAGGACTGATAGATGAATCTAATCAAACTCAGGATAAAGAAACCAATACTGAGTGTATTTTCATCCCAGAACAAGGTAAACAAAGAAAATTGTCAGCTGCAGGAATTGTTCTTGGCGCGGTACATGATGACAAGAACTCTATCGTTATTAAACGAAGTCAAACGTTTTCACCAAGTGCTGCTGTTAGTAGGAATCATTATATTTGTCGGGTAAGTCAGTTAGAGTGTATGATAAATTGGTAACGTAGATATTAATTAATAATTTTTCATAAATTTTTAAAACTTACAGTTGAATCGCAGTGATAGTGACAGTAGCATGCCACTTTACCGTAGAGGAGGTCCTTTTCAACGTAATTCTGTAGAAAGGCGATCTCTTCGTTGGAGACGCCCATCTTCTGCTTTGAGTTGTAAAACAGCTTCAAAGAAAACTACACAATTACCTACCGCGAGAACATCTCTCGATCTTGAGCTTGATCTTCAAGCTCAACATGCTAAGCTCAATAACCTTCATGACGAATTAAATAGGTTACGTGAATTGAAACAAAGGCTAGAACAGGCACGTGAAAAAGGTGATGCAGATCTTGCTTCTTGGGTACTCGAGGATCAGAAATTTCAAGCACTCATAGCACAAGCTGAAATCACTAAAAATGGTAAAAGTTTGGAAGATAAAAAAGTCGAAAAAATGTTGAAGAAAACTTCTAAAGAAATATATAAACTCAGAAAAACCAAAGTAGGAAAAGGCAAGCCAGATATTATTTCCTTCAAGTAAGTACTTTTATAATCCATTTACATACATACGTATACAAAAAGAAAAAGACAAAAAAAATAATTTTTTTTTTATTTAATTTTCAGAGAAAAAATGGCTTTCTTTACTCGTGTTAATTTAAGCGTTCCGGTACTACCACCTGATGATTCAAACTCTGAATTATCTACAATACAATACAGAAGACATACTTCAGATTTAGCAAATAGTGGAGACTTTTCATCACAATCTCAAATTGGAGCTAACGAAATTTTAAAAGAAAATGCTGCTATCAACACAGCATTAATTAATGCACGAACAAATAGTAGTATAATGAAGTCTAATAATAAAATTTTAATATCTTCATCAAATGGAATGTATGAAGAAAAACCAGTTGATACACATCCCGCCGTGAATTCGACTACAGTAATCGAAAAATCCGATAAGTTAATAGAAGGAGCCGAAAGTGATAAGACTTCAGAAAATACAAATACTAACTCGCAAAGGTACGAGTATGTCGTGGATCGAATATTAGGTGTTGAAGTTTGAAAAAGGAAAAAAGATTTAATCCGATCGTTTTCAAATAGTTATAATAAATAAAAACGTAGAAATAATTAATATTATTTTTTACATTGTAAATTTTAAAACAAATATTTTTTAGACACAATTTTTTACAATGTACGTATAGAATATAACAATTATTTATTATAAAATTTGCATTTGTACAATTTTCAAAATGATCAAAAACTTCATGATTGCGATGATCTTAAATTTTATATATTAAGTATAAAAAAATGTAAATATCAATACATAAATTATTTAATTCCGTCAATAATGTCAGTAAAACTATTTAAATGTTATGAATGATCCCATTGGTTTTATTATTACAATTTTTTTTTAATATTATAATTTTAAGATAGATAAAAAGGTATCTTATAAGCGTATGATCTACTGATGAGCTCATCTACATACATCAAATTCTAAGTGCACTGGTTTACTCTAATCTATGCTTTGTTCATGATTTTTAATTAAATTGCAAATTTAATATTTCAATTGAGTTGGAAAAAAAAAAAAAACAGTTCTATACAAATAAACAAAAGTTTATATTGAAGTTAAATTGTTAAACTTGGATAATCAGTAAGGGGTCAATTGTGATGAAAACAATACACAATTGTACATTTTTCAGATTTAATTTTCACAATAATAATTAAATTTTTTATGTAGATAAAATTTCTTAACTTTTTTTTTTAACTGATACTTCTCAATTTTTTTTAATTGCCAACACCAACGTTAAAAACAAAAATAATTTATTATGGAGTTTTCTCTAATATCTTTTTTTTAATGAATCAAATTGACTTAAAATTCATTTTGTAGCAATCACAAAAACTACAATAGTTTATTATAAAAATATCATCTAAAATTAAAAGCATGTTATAGAGAGAATATCGAACTCGACCGCATAGAATTATGTGATTTTACTTTTGCATGTCTTAAGCGCGAACGCGTGGAGGATATGCTCTACTAGTGCTTCAAAAACTATATTTTTTTTTGTTTAACTAAAAAATTTAATCGCTGTGAAGAACATTCTATTTAGTCGATTCGTGAATGAAATATGGTTAAAAGTTAACTTTTTCTTATAATGTTCTTATTTTGATCATAAATAATATTATTTTACTGTTTTATTAAAAAAAAAAAATATAAATCGTCACTTGAGCTATATTAGCTCATTTAAAGCATATAGAATTTGAGCATATATATATTTTTAATTGTAAATATTGATTCTCAATATTGATCTGTCTTTTCACTCGCGAATCATCAATCATATAAAATCACTAATGATTGTTAAAAAATTAAAGAATTTTTATTTTCTACTAGACTTTTTCAAAGTGTCTTCGAATCATTGTGATGCAATATTAATTTTCATTATGACTACTGATATTTTTGTTTTTAAACTAATATTGTAGTTTTAAATTTCTTCAGAAATTTAATTTTTAAATCATGAGTTGCATAAACATCATTTATTACGAGTCAGAAAAGTAACAAAAGACGCTATCGGTTTCCTGTAGAATTCGTCTCGGACTGTCTTGTGTGGCAAGATAACTTGTAGGAGTTTCATCAGATTATTCCGAAGCTCACTCATATCGTACCTAAATTACTTGTTCTGCAACTCAGCATAAATAACTATTGTTGAACAAATAATTTCAAAATATTTTCAGATCTAAGTAAGTCTAGGAATGAACAACGTTTCATAATTATATAGGACATTATATGCAAAATAAATCACTTTAAAGTTTTATTTTTGGATTCTTTTCAGAGATACTAATGATTGTTTTCAATCATAACTTTTTTTTATTATTTTTTTGTTAGATGAAATTTTCAACAAAAAATTAGTTAAAGTTATTTTTACTTTCTTTTTTTAGTTTTTTTATAAAAACCAAAAATTTATAGTTGATTCCTATTAAAAATTTTATTTATAAGCAATTTGGATTTTTCTTTGTACATTTATTTGTAACTGACGGTTTTAGAACTAACTACTTTAGCATCAACTATTTTCTCGCCGTTATTTCAATATCGATGGAAAAATTATAGGGAACCAATGTAAGTATAGTAGCATAAGAATTCATGAATTGTTTAATTTAATTCCATGATTTTTTTAATATACTTGTTTGCAAGGCTTTTGTTAAAAACTTTTCTTCTATTAAATTCTGTTCTGAAGAATTCTAAAAATTTTGTTGCATGGAGCAGAAAAAACTTTTAGGCCAGTGTCAACCGAGTGTATATGAAAACATCAAAAAATTTAAGAATTTATAAAGCTATTTCACATAATATATTATAGAAAATAAAACATATTACTGTAAATTACTACAAGTGGCTTAACTAAATAGAAAATACTGCATTTATAGCTTTTTTATTCAACCAATATTGATTTAGTGCCAGTTTTTCAGTCCGGGAATCAGTCAATCAATCCGGGATAAAATTTTATCCAAGATATAATTATTTTTGTCAGTATATCTATGTATCTAAAATATATAGATATATTCAAGTATTGAATAAAATTTTATCCTAAGCTAAATAGAAAATTAGTAAGAGAAGTTAGCGTCTATTTAAACACAAAAGTCGTTCAGAAGTACTTTTTCAAGTTTTTAATGTTGCTATAATTATTTCTTATATGCAAAAAGTGTTTTATTTACTTTTTTACTTGGAAAAATAAATTCAAGATGACCAATTCAATCAAAGTCAACAAAACAAATTACTCGAAATTAAATAAATAAGAAAACTTTTTGCTTCAACCTACTTAACTTCAACACATGTACTAGTCTCGAGAATCCATAATAAGGTTTGATATTAATTGGTATGGTAAATTTTAAAAAATCTCAAAAATAAAATTTCAATGTGTTATATCTTAAATAGCGCGTTGGATGGAATTGAAATCGTTCCAATCGGGAAGCTTTGGATTTTGTCGGCTCCTTTTAACTTGGTGTTCCCTTTTGAAAGCATTTTACTGAGTATTTTCTTGTACCCTACATCCATAAAGTGTTCTTTATATTTAAAAATTCTAAATATACCTCTACATATGTCATTGATTCCCTGAATAAAAAAAAGTATTGAGACAAAGAAAAAAGTATTGAAAAGTATTGGATTGACTAGAAAACCAATACTTTTCAATACTTTTTTTTATCAGGGTTTCTTCAAACTCAAAAAGATATAATAACCTGCCCGTGATGATAAATTTTTATAAAAATCAGATTCGTAAAATCAATTTTTTTGAAAGGATTATGATGTAAGTTTACTTGAAAATAAAAATTAGTTATTGAAATTAATCGAATAAGAGCAAAAAATTAATAATATTTTTGTGGTTATATTAGGGAGTCTTCGTGAATACAGGGAAGATTACGATACGTACGGTGCCAATAGGCCAATGGCGTCGTGTTGCGCCCTTTTACCCTGGTTAGAATGTGATTTTATGTGGTTTTTTTCGATTTTTAAGTACTGATATCTCGCAAACTTTCCGTTTTTTTTCGTCGAGATCTATAAGAATCCGCTTCCAAATCGTGGCACCGTACGAATCGTATAATCTCCCCTGAAAAATTAACTTGATTGAAGATAAATAATAATCTTGAGCTGAGAAGATTAATGATTCTGAAATTGACAGACATTTCATAATTTTTAGGATTGTTTTAGCAAATAAATTACTGTCATGAAAATTCTAAAAACAAAAAAAATAAAAAAAAAACTATGAATATAATTTTTTAAAAAATGGTCAGGCATCTGCTAATTTTAATATCATGAAAATTATTTTGAAAAAAAAAAAAGAAATTGAGTTTTCTTAGTTAAAAAATTTATTCTCTAGATTTGTACATTGTTGAATTAAGATTTTTGTATCTGTTTTGAATACGATTTTTTGTTTTTGCTTTTAAAGAATTTTTTGCTTTTCTGCAGAGAGTTTTAATTTATTGATTCATAAATTAATTTCTCGAATGAAGAAAACTGAATATCTATTTTGAAATAAAGAGACATTTTGAAGAAAATATTCTTCTAAATCGAGTTAATGGTCATATTTCGGAGAGTTACAAGGTCATCTCTGGTGTCCCACAAGGGTCACACCTTGGACCAACTCTCTTTAATATATTCGTTAATGATATTGGTGAACAATTTAAATCCGATTATCTGTTATATGCAGAAGACTTAAAAAAAGAAAAATCTTTAGAAAAATTAACAGCGAAGAGGACATCGATATTCTCCAACGTGATATCGACACGCTTCATAGATGGTGTGTGCTAAACAAGCTAATCCTGAATAACAACAAATGCGTGGTCCTAAGTCTATCTAGAGTCTCAGGCAATCTACTATCTCAATAATCATCTACTCACTGAAGTGTCTTTCGTGAAAGACCTAGGTATAATTGTGGACAGCAAGCTGAACTTCGTAAAACACGTTGACAAAATTACGTATCATGCGTACAAGATACTGGGTTTCATAATTAGATCAGGTAGAGAATTTAAAGACCCAAATACGTTAATACACTTTTTTAAAACATTGGTTCGCCCGATCCTTGAATACTGCAGCATCATTTGGTCATGCACCTCATACACAGGGCCTGGTCGACGAGGTTGAAAAAATACAACGTAAATTCTGCAAATTTGTATCCTACTTTATGTACACAAAAGGTGTCCACTTAAGTACAGAATAGGTATATAATCATTTCAAGCTGGACAGTTTGAAAAACGGTCGTATTGTTGCAGATCTTACATTTTTCTACAAGGTTATCAACGGTCAAATACAGTCTCCAGAAATACGCAACCAATACGAGCTGATTGAACCTAGATCAGGCTTTTAAGTAGCACGAAAACATCAAAAACCTATGTCTATCATGGACCCAAAAACAGAATATCAAACCTAGTCAATTAAATATAGCTCAGACATCGATTTCTCCATGGACTCAATCTCAAGTTTCACCTCCAAAGTCAAGGAATTAATATTAACCAGCAAGCACTTATAATAATCATAATAATTTTATTATTAAATATTTAATAGCCGTCAAATCATTAATAATAATCCTAAGTATTAAATAATTTATGTACATTGCCGATTGGCGTTTATTCTAATAAAAATAAATAAATCAAATAATTTTTCTCACATTGTGTGCAGGAATAATGTCAAAAACATAATTTAACTCATATAAATACCTCGTATGTATGATACATATATCTGTACAGAGTTTTCTTTAATATACATAACATGATCAGTAGTATAAGTAGTGTACAATTGGTTGGCTACGTACGCTCTACTTCTCACTCAACTCATTCTAGATAATAATAATAATAATAATAATAATAATAATAATAATAATAATAATAATAATAATACTAGTAGTTCAAATAAGAGCCGAAAATGCGAGCGGCAGATTCGAGCTCGGGCATCCGCCCTTTATTTACTATCAACATGTATCAGTGTATGTTACGTATGCGTTATATATCATTTTATGTAGTATAGTTTAAAGCATCGTTCCTTCTCTGTCAATTGCTATACTGTGCGTTGAGACTATATACCTACAGCATTCATTCGCTTTCATTTCCAACACAGAAATGTTAGCAAGTTATTTTTATAAGCGCAGCCAGAATAATAACAAAAATACTCAAAAAAATTTTACTCATTACACTAAAAAACTTAATCAGTTAATAAATTTTTATGTGAGTATGTATAAAAAACCTCGTTTTATCATGATGTTAAGTAAATTTTTAAATATATGATGTATAAAATGAAAAAGTTATTTACTTGAGGTTATGTTGTTATTAAGTTCACGATGCGACGACGCGATGATTATTGCAATTGCAACCCCCGCGCGAAAAATGAGGTCGAGTTTGATTTATTGAAAGTATGTAAAGTATTTTATATAGTTTGGTTATGTAACTTAAAAATAATATTGGCTAAAGTGATAATTAACATGTATTTTTTTATTTTATTATGGTTCCGATCGTATTTTATATATATTTATAAAGAAGAAATTTTTAAATAGTGACTAATCTAATCACATTAAACTTTAAAAAACGCGGCAAAAACAGTTTACGATGTTATGATATGTAAAAATTTTCTTCGCATGTTTGTTTAAATTGAATAAGTAGTAAGTATATTATTATTTATTTATTTAATTACTGTTAGTTGTTTAACTTACTATTATTGATGTTGTATTGTTATTATTACTTTAATGATTGTTTTATTATAAGTTAATTATTGATAACATTGAAAATAACATCCGAATATATTAATGTTTTGTAAATCTATAATAATGATAATATATAATTTTTTTGTCCATACATAAATCTAATTTAAAATTTATGATAGTATTCAATTTCAACCTAGAACTAGTTTAAAGGACAACTTCCCCAAGAAGCGTATTCGATGAAATATATTTTTCTAAAGTTAAAATATATTACAAACATCAAAAAATATTTATTAAAAAATATAAAACACATCAAAAGTACTTTTTTTTTTAATAATAATCGATAACACATCTAAACATAAATGTGAATAGTTTATGCTAGATATTTTAGAGTTTTTGTCGTGTACTACAAAAAGTAAAATTTTCATCAATGTGGAGGCTTGTCTCACTCACATAATTATAATATGTCAACAGATTTAGCTATTAATAAAATAATAATAATAAACTTCTAAAATAAAAAGTTTAGGACCAAATCCTTCCAATACGGCATAATTTGTCTTGGTTTTGTTGAAGTATTAAAATCTAAGCTAAAAGATTATGAAAGCAATCTTATCTTTTAATATTTCTTAGTATACATAAAATACATTGGTAGAATATATGTATACCCAGCTTCTAGTCTAGTTAAATATAACACATGTGCCGTGCTTACGTTCTCTTCATGATCTATATACGTTTATTCTAATTATTTACGAACTTACGGCGTATGTATAGTAATTTTCTGTTCATGTGGTATATAAAATGCTTAGAGAATTTTTATTGCATTTTTCACTGATTACGAATCATTATGCAAAGCATTTGAGAGTAGTCTACGATCGAAAATTTTCTTTTTAAATGTCACCTACTAACCATTTGTCTGCAGTTATAGTTATACAGCATGTATTAGCATGAACACTGTTGAATATCACATTTGCAATTTTGATTTTTAAAAAAGTAAACGAAAAAAGATTTCTTCGTTGATTTTTTACCAATATAATTAACCTTTAGGCTATTTATTTAACTAATATTAGAAGAAAATTTGCAAAGAATGGAAAAAAATGCTGGATTAGCTAATTCCAATTCTAGCTACCGCTAGTTTATATTATTGTAATCTAGCGTCCGGAGCTTTAGGTAATTGATTTTTTTTTTAATTATTTCCAATATGACGATTATTTTTTCATATGTGCTTTGTGGTATAAAAAAACTCTTAACTTCCCGGTAAGAAAGTTTTCAAAAATTCAGTACTTGAAAAAATTAACATAAATATCTCTTGAAAATTTTAAAAAAATATTCTGTAGTGGTTTTTTTGTTTGAAAGATATTTTGAAGAAAAAAATTTTCAAAAGACTTTGTTGAAAACTATTTATAAATCTTAGAATCAATCAATTTTTTGAATTACATGCAATCAAAATACTTTCAAAATTGGCTTACAGTTCTCATTCCCTAAATTATAACAGCTTATCTTTTTTTCTCTTGTTAATAACTAATGGAAGAATTGAGATACAGCTAAAATATCTTAGGGAAGGAGCACTGTACTTATGAGATTAAAAACTTGACAAACTGTGTTGAAACATGAAAAACTGAGCAAAGCAAAGTAGATTGAAATCGGTTGATGTGTTCAAGATTTTCCAAAAATTTATTTAAAATTTTACCAACCATTAAAAAAAAATCATCTACTAAAACAAGTTCCAAAAATTTATTGATCACGTAAAAAAACAAGTAAAAATAAATATTGACGAATCATAAAATCCTGCCAATCACTAAATTGTTAAGGCGTGGGCTATTGCTCTCTTTTAATAAAGCAAGGAGAAAGAAAAACATGTTTAACACACAAAATGTATCTAACAATTTTTTTTTATTTCGTATCACGTGAGGTTGATATTAAATTGAATTATTGATTTTTCATTCATTTTTTTTTTAAACCATTTATATGAGGGTTTAACAAGTGGGCCAGGCATTAGTTGTACCCTAGAAGATGCTGTACGGTTCCTGACTAATTCTAAAATATTAAAAAACTAGGCATCACGGTGCCTACACGGTGAGAAATTTCTGTAGAAATTTACTATGCATACATAATAAGACTGAACCTTAAAAATCTTGAATCAAGAATACCATTTTGAAGAAAATAATTTTCTTGTGTCAAGAGGAAAAATTCTTGAATTGAGAATAATTTCTTCACGGTGAGAAATTTCTATTATTTTTTATGGTGCATATTACTAGTGAACCTTATTGACTCAGAATGAAATTTTACAATGGCCCATAGTAATTTCCGAAACAAATGAAATCAGACATAGCAAACGGTAGAAATTGAAATGTACCATAGTAAAATGAAATATGCAATAATTTAAATTTCCGAATAATTTAAATTTACTATAGCAAAAAAAATAAGAAAATGTTTGTAAAAAATAAAAAATTTTAATTAAAAAATATTTTTAGCAATCAAAAAAAATATCAAACCAAACAAGATTTTTTTTTTTGTTTGTAATAATTTTTAAAAATATTTTTTTAAAATATAGTTTTTTTTTATTTTTTTTCTATTTTTTTTTTTATTTTTAACAATTAACGTAGGATTTATTTTGGCAGTTAATTTTATTATAATTAATTATAAACACAATATATAACTTTTCCATTATTTTTTATTATAATAATAATATATTATTAGAAAAGTGTTGGTTGCAGGTTAACCATCAAATGTTTGTTTTCATTTTAATTTTTCACGGTAAATTATTAAATATTTTATTATTTGGGAATCTTACAAATTTTTATTAATTATTCATATGTTGATGGATTTATAAACTAATATTTATTTAAAACAATGTTTATTGCAATTAACATATGAATAGTTAATAAAAATTTGTAAGATTCCTAAATAATAAAATATTTAATAATTTACCGTGAAAGATTAAGATGAAAACAAACATTTGATGGTTAACCTGCAACCGACACTTTTCTAATAATATATTATTATTATAATGAAAAATAATTTAAAAGTTATATATTGTGTTTATAATTATTTATAATATAATTAACTGCCAAAATAAATCCTTCGTTCAAATTAAAAATAGAAAACAAATAAAAAAAACTATATTTTAAAAAAATTTTTTTAAAAATTATTACAAACAAAAAAATCTTGTTTGGTTTGATATTTTTTTTTGATTGCTAAAAATATTTTTTACTCTAAAATTTTTTATTTTTTACAAACATTTTCTTATTTTTTTTGCTATAGTACATTCGGAAATTTAAATTATTGCATATTTCATTTTACTATGGTACATTTCAATTTCTACCGTTTGCTATGTCTGATTTCATTTGTTTCGGAAATTACTATGGGCCATTGTAAAATTTTATTCTGAGTCAATAAGGTTCACTAGTAATATGCACCATTGTAAAATTTAAAATCCATGCAGAATAAAAAATAATAGAAATTTCTCACCGTGTATAGTTTTAAATGGCTTAAATTAAAAAAAAGTCGAACTTTTAACAAAAAACGACAAAATTTGAAGTTCAAAGTTTACAATAAAACGCTTACTCATGAAATTAGTTATTAAAATTAACTAGTTATTATTTGATAGATTATTATAATTAACTATAAATTTTTTTGCAAATTATTACAAAATTTAATAAAATTACATAAAATAATGGTAATAAGTGTCACTTTAAATTTAAAACTAGAAAAATTGCAGTTTGAAATAAAATTTTTTAAATTCAAACTTTGAATGTTAATTTTCATAGCTCTAAATGTAATATTTACATTTTACAATGTAATTCTTACAAAATCTGTAAAAATTACAATCTGCAACTGTAATTTTTCCAGTTTTTTAAATCAAGTGCCACGTTACATTATGTAATGTAATTTTTCCCTTTTTCTTTTTGCCATGTAGTTAAATAATCATTAACTTTTAGATCAATTGTTCTGTTCGCATTATAATTGATGAATATTCAAATTATATAAATTATACAAAAAAAATTATAAAAAAAGAAGATAAGTATTCTTTATTAACAAAAGTCATATGCTACATAAAAATTCTTCGAGCCTTTAATCAAAAAACAAGAAATTTTTTTTTTTTAGTCAACTATTTTTTCACATTATATTCACAATTCTTTTCTTATCTATTTAATCAAATATTGTTACTGCTAATATCGAGTAATCTATCTTCAATCAAAATAAGATTTTGAATTATATCAAAATATTGTTAAGAATGATAAAAAATGTTTATACCCGGTCTTATTTTCTTTACAAGCTTGTCTCATTTTTTAAATATTTATTTATTATTATTTTTGATATTCGATAAAAGTTCACACAGATTTTACCTGAGATAGAGGTAGAATAATGGAAGAAGAGATACTATGTATGAAGTCAGGAAAACGTGCGCGTATGTCAACGACTAAAAAGTTAAAAGAGGGGGTAAAGAGAGAGTAAGAGGCGTCAAACTGAACGCAGAGAGGTACGTCTGATCATCAAACACAAACCAACTTTTTCCACAGTAGTAGCGTTAGTTAAATAATGGTTATCTATCGTCTTATTAAGTATTTTATATTTAGCAGTCATCAAAATACACTGACGTTATCAACAAAATTAAAAAATCTAATATTTCCTAGTAAATTTTTAAAATATTTAACAAATGATATAATTTCTATAAGTAAATACTTCTTTCTCAATTAATATTATCTTATCGTTGATATTTTTTATAACCGTTATTATCAATAAGACAGTCAGTTCGTGTGTTAAAATTAGTTGAAAAAAAAGACGTCATTCATACAGGATAAAAAAAAGTTGCCGAGTGTTTTAAACAAGTACCGTACCTGGAAAATAATTTTATAAACAACCGTTATAACTTTGAAATAGTTTGTTGTTGATATTTAAACTGTGTACATGCCTTATTGAAGTGTCTTCCTCGAGTGCTTTAAAACTTATTGCACCCGTTATTTCAACATAAGATAATTTTACACTTTGTGTGTAATTTAATTTTCATTATCATTTATATTGACAGTTAAAAATTTATGTACTATAAAATCGAAACTTCAACCAAAATGCACGAAGTTATAAAATTATCATTAATTATAGTGATCGTGTAAAAATGAAAAAATTTTGTAAAGATAAACATTTAAAATTGAAACTGCTTAACCAATGGTTAAAAATAATTCTGTTCGACCAGTTCGAATGACCGTTGTAAGTATTAGATTAATATTTATGATTGAAAAGTACTTGGTAGTATTTATCGCTTTTAAGATATTTATTTCACGTCACAATAGAGTAATATTAATACCAATATTGTGTTGGAATATACATTTACATTCATATGTATGTATTTTTATTTATTTTTAACATAGCTCGTGAGATAATAAAAAATTCCGATAGCATTAGAGATATTTGTTTTGACACACCTTACATTATGTGCACAATTATTTCCAAGTTTAAGATGTATGTACAAGGCTTGAACTATAAAAGTATGTATAATGTAACTAAACACATGTAGTTATAATGGTTTTAATTAAGTCTCTACTACGATTCAGCTAATGTAAAGTTATACCATACTATTGTCATTATTCATTATGATACAAAAGCAACATTTCTTCTCATTTTCTTTTAATTCTTATCATTTCAACCAAAGTTTTCCTTAGACCTACTCATCACTATTATTATTACAAAAGAGAAGCAAGCTTCTACATTAATAAAAATTTTACTTTTTATGGTTCACTATCCAAATAAACTACAAAACATATATAAACATGAACTTTAATACAATTATTCATCTTCACGTCTAGATGTGTCATCAATTATTATTTTCGAAAAAAATAATCTGCATACATATATAAATAAAAATGGTAAACTTCATTTTCGATGCATATGTAGACACTGATAAAAAAAAATTAACTTGATTTAAAAAACAACTTGAACCAAGAAGATCATTCTGAAAAATTAAAATGAAAAATTTAACATTTTTACTTGATTCAATATAATAAAATTTTTTAAAATGATCTTCTTGGTTCAAAATTTTCTTATTTGAATTAAGTCAACTGTTGAACTGTTGTGTGTGTGCGTGCGCACGCGTGTGTCTGTGAGTGTTATATTTTTGAATATGAAAAATATATTTTATAGAATACGCTTTGCTAGTAATTACATAATTGAGCTTTTAACTGATTATTATTTATTTATTTATTAATTTACTAAAATTACCAACTATTTCAGCTCCCGGTCCATTCGATGCAGCAAACACCACGGAGTGATGTCCGTGTACCAAGTTTGGACTCATCACATCCATTTACACCGTCAGATTTATCTTCAATACCTCATATGGATGAAAGCCCAACTCCAACGTCAAATCAAACAAACAATCAGAATTCAACAGCTGCAGACAATACCACTGATGTTACATTAAACTCCGGTCCCTACATCGTCGGTAGTCCAATTGACCTCGGAAATATCGACAATGTCGATAATATTGGTCTTCAAGTTGGTTCTATTCGTCGGGGAAGAGGACGAACTCGAGAACATATTGAACTTCAAGAAACTGGTTCCCCGGAATCAGAACTCTCAGGTTCGTTTATGCTCTTATCATGAAATATTAATTAATTCTAAATTCCGATAAACAATACATAAACATAGACCTTTAATTACGTGAAACGAATTATTTGTCCCTTATTATGTTCGTCGTTGTACATTTTCAAGGTTCGATTTAAAAAATCAATCTACGATAAGTTATTCATTGTATCAGGTTATTATCAGGGCTTATGTAACATATAAAGTATAATGACTGTATCGAAACTTTGATCTATTGATGAGAAATGAATAAAGTAGTTATTGTAGTGAGTGCGTCAGCAGGATCACGCAATAGATGAAATTTACTGATTAAACTTGGTATTTTAAAAATGAAAAAAATAAAGCTATTACTTTATGGATCAATATTCCCCTATAAATGATAATTATTTTGACATTAATATTATATTTCATGAATAAAGTATTTTTTAAACCAATCATTTTTATATCGGGTTGTTAAATTTAATTAGCAATGAATTCGATAACGCTTGTAATCGATCGAGCATCTATAGGTATGTTTAGTTAGATACGAGTTATAAGTCTTTTTTGTATACGTTGTACAGTAATAAAAACAATGTAATCATCAGAACTATGTTATATTCTGTCGCTGTTTTAGTATAAGTGTTAGCCTTGTAACACATAATGTCCTTGGCCTCGGATAAAAGTTGCCTTTACTGCTATCACATGCCAATCTTCATCAACATGTTATATACATTCATCTTTGTAAAAATATATATGGGGAATCCCATGTCAAGTCTCACCACTTTCTGACTCGGTTCTAAGTAATGATTATCAAAATTTTATAGATATATACCATATATATATGTATAATAATTAAATACATCCTCCTAAAATTATTTGTATAATTTTTTTTCAAATTTTTTACGCAATTTGACAGAAAAGGGTTTATACATAATTGTGTCGCAGCAATTTGGCAAATTATCTGATCAGACTTTTTTTTATTATTGATTAAAACGTTCTTTTTGAATTTTAATAGTAAAGATACCTATCTTCGGTATAATTTATAGGTTTTTGTAGACAATAATAATAACTTTTCAAAAGTATGGCATCTGTTTTAATTTTTATTTTATATGAAACTTTTTATTTTATATTTTATTTTACCCTACTCATAAAAACAAACCTAATAAACAAATTTAGTTAATAGTTTTATGGTTTTTTTATATCACTCAAACACCCCAGAAACGTAAAATTTTTTTATATAATGTTGTTTATTTCTTTTGCGTGCTGAACGGTCTGATGGGTTTAAACCATTTCACATTTAAACATATGGAGTAACATTAAGTAAATTTTAATTGTCTAATGTGACAAATAGAAAATTATATTTATTCAAAATAGTTTGATCATCATATTTTAATGTCTTCTCTGTGGATAGTTAGTTTCTTTTTTTATAATTATAATTGTGTTTTATTTTTCTTTTTCTTCTTTTGACGTAAAGTACCTATTAACCGTCGATAAATTTTTATCCCTTTTTTTTTTGTATCATTTTTTGATTTTTTTGAGCTGTTATTTAATTCTGTGCTAATTTTTTTCTGAACATAATAATTCGACCAACTAATGATTACCATTTTTGAACAAGTCAATTTTCTAATTTTTTGTTTTTTACAAAAAAAATTTTTAATTTTCTCATTTCAAATGATTTTATTTAAAAAAAATTCAATAACAATGATGATCAGGAATCGTGTCGTCCTCATTTCCAAACAATTATCTTTGTTTTACCGATTTGAAGTTTTCACGATAAAAAATTTGATTAAAGTCAGTTTTTAAACACATAAATCGCTATAATGAAATTCAATAATTTTTTCAAAACGAATTTTTAACAATTACAAATTTAACAACGTTCGAAAATCTGTCTAATATAAAGTTTTAATCTCTTCGAGCTCACAAATCCAAGTAAAAACATTTTTCTGCAAATTTTTCGTTTACGATATCTTTCGAACGGATTAACTGATTCCATTGGCGGCAATCGACATCTTTTTTAAGTATAAGAACTTATTAGATTTTGAAATCAATCGATACAGTACTTCAAAACTTATTCCAAAATTTGATATAGCGATTTCTTAAAATTTATCTGACCGAATAAGTTAATTTGTTTGGGAATTCTAAAGACGACAAGCCGCGAACCCTATTCGATCAGTCAAGCTGTTTAAAAGTTATGAAATGTTTACACACACCGTCAAAAAATTAGCTAAGATAGCTGTCTAGGACCTAAAAAGTGGAAATCTGATAAACACTCGATTTTTTTAAATTATTTATTTTGAAAATTTCACAGTGGGAAATTAAATGTCCTGTATATTGTCCCCTGATAGCCAGCGCTTTCTCAGTAAGTAGTTGACTTCTAGCAGTTACGGTTAACTTAACATCAAGTTGGCAGTAATTCTTCACTCAACAACAGTTGTAAGCAAATTGACGGAAATTTACGGCCGCAACTTGAATACAAATTAACAATCAAACTTGTAGTTAAATTTCCTTTTAACTGTACTACAATTTGACAGAAATACTTGTACAGTAAGTTTTGATGTCTATTTGCAGAGTAAGTTATAGGTAACTAATAGGTAATCGCTCGCTTTGCCAAGTCTTTCCGTCAAGTTTTCTTCAAATTGCGGACATAGATTGACAGTAAGTTATAGGTAAGGTGGCTATCAGGGTGTAAATTTTATTTATCGACAATTTCTTAAGAATTATCCTAAAAGCTCAACAGAGCTCAGCACATTACATATTTGCTGTCAACTTGTTGCCGATGCGCATGCGAACAATAGTAAATCCATTTCAACTGCATACTTAATCTTTACTAAAAATATTGCACGTGCGCAGAGCATCACTCCAATGTTATTTTTATAATACCGTTGCTTGTCTTTTTCTCTATTACACAATCGCTTATACTATTTACTCTCTCAGACTTTACTGTTATATGAAAAAGTAAGATGGCAGACCTAATGAGACGGTTTGGCTATCACAATAGTGTTTGACAGATGTAATTAAAATTTAATTTATTAAAATTTATTGATCCTATTGATTGATTTGTTAATAATTATTCAATGTCGTTAAAGTATTTCATTTTCATAGCAGTTAAAGAACTGTAGTAATTTTTTATCCGTTTGTTCAATTCATAAAATATTTTTTCAATACTGGAAAAATATTTGTTATAACAAAATAAATTTTAACTTTGTGATTGGTTTAATTAAGTTTGAAACTTCAAATATAACTACGCTGGATTTCATAAATGAAAAAGTTTATAGATTTCGATTGCAATTATTCATATTTTTATAGATAAAAAGAAAATTAAGTGGACACTAACGATATTTTGTGCTCAGATTGCATCAATATTATTTATTATAATTATAATATACACGTGCTGAAGTTTTACGACGTCATTAGTCAGTTTGGAGCAAATGAAATGAGTAAAGGTGTGGCGTTAATGTACGACAGTGACAGAGCGAGAACATCCTGATATAAAGTAGAATGACATTTTTTAAGATCACAGTGATGACGATGATAGCTAATTGTGTTTGTTTTAATCGTTATCAAAACAGTTTGATTGACATAATAGTGTGAAGTTTAAATGCACATCAACCGGTTGATTTTATTGATGTAATTTCACACAAATATTCGAAATATTTTTTATAAAAACTATTAATTCACCGACAATTATTGATTAGATCTCAATCACAACCGACCAGTTTTAAACTATAATAACGTTTGATCAATCAATTTCCAAACTGGGATAAAATGTTTTCCTATACTAAAATATATCTATAAATTTTATAGATATAAAATATAAATATACTGATGATAATAATTATATCCTGGATAAAATTTCATCTTGGATTGAAAAATTGGCTCTTAAATTGAAACAAGAAAGTTTTGTGTTTTTTTTTTTTTTTTTTGTTTTTTGACATCAAATTCGTCAATTCAGTTTTTTTTGTTATTGTCTTTATCAAAGTCTTCCCGTTTTATTACTTGCTTGGTGAAATAATATTTTTTGAACTCGTTTCCAATTAAATTTGCAAAAGTCTAATTTTTTTAAAACTAAAAAATACCTACATTGTATTTTATAAACATTTAACATGTATTATTAAGTTCAACTATAGCTTATCAACACATTCATGATTTATTGAAAAAATTATCTAAGCGAATTTAGTATGTCGTTTTTACTCGCATGAAAAATATAATTATATCAATACTAAACAAATAAATGTTGGTTATCAACATGAAGTAAGGCTATGTGAATTTTCTTTATGCTAAGAGTTAGTTAAAACTATATACAAATTTAAATTCGTACATTTGTTAAACACTAATAATTTCTTGAATGTTTTTTATAATTTAAATAAATTTCCGATAATTTTTGTTATATCTAAATAAATATTTACCAACACATAGTATGCAAATACATTGATGTAATTGTAAAGGTATATGAAAAATTATCTTTTATAAAATTTATATATATATATATATATATATATATACATTAACAAGCCTGTTATCGTTAGTCTATCAAGTACATATGCGCCGATACTAGAATTACTCGTATAAGTTACGGAAAACATTGGTCATGTTCAGGATACAGATAAATAATTTGTCTGTGAATATTTTAAAAATAGTTCAAGAATAAAAACTTTGAACACAAATCATAATTATAACAACTAAATAAATGTTTTGAACATGGATTTATTAAGAATACGATTTAATCGTTGGTTCAATGATATAAGATCACGATGCAGTCTCTACTTGCATGGACAAAATTGTAAGTTATTTCAAAATTCATGTTATTCAATATTTTGTATTAAATTTATTTTTTTACATTATAATTTTTTTGTACCATATAGTAATAAAAGATGTAATGGTAATATTCGTAGTGATGACTGCGTAGTATTTAAATCAATCATGATATTTTAAAATATTTGATAATTTTACTATTACGCATCTATGCGTTATTCACGACAATATCATTTATAACTCAATTACACTACAAATTTTGATTAATTATTTACTAATAAAAAATTTTAAAATATCTAATATATCAATGATATAATTTTTCATTTTTCATAATGTGTATTCGATTTTAAAGTGAAATAAAATTTTATGTTTAATAAACATAAAAATATTTAATGATCAATAGAATATAAATCGATGCAATCATTCCATTTTGTTTATCACAGTAGAAAAATGATTTAATCGTAGTTATCAAACTGAGATGATATTGTACAATAATCATTTCTTTGATTCACACATTACTGATAAATTTTTTTTTTTATTTTGCAGTAGAAGGAAATAGAGCGGAAAATGGGACTTCCTTAGATGAAGATCGACAGCCAGTAGCGCCAGAGGACCATGATGAAAGGGTAGTATTCGTAAATGCTCCTCATCAACCTGCAAAATATAATAATAATCACATAACCACAGCGAAATATTCGCTGCTCTCTTTTATACCTTCCTTTCTCTTCGAACAGTTTCGTCGATATAGTAATTGCTTCTTCCTATTTATTGCTCTTATGCAGGTAAATAATCATTTTTCATTAATATTATATATAAAAAAATTATATTGTCTTTAATAAATTTCATGGATAAAATTATTACTTTCAGCAAATACCTGATGTTTCCCCTACCGGTCGATATACAACACTTGTGCCATTAATTTTTATCTTGAGTGTGTCTGCTTTAAAAGAAATTGTCGAAGATTTCGTAAGTTTTGGCGTAATTAATAAATCATTACAAAAAAAAATTTTTTTATTGTCTTTTAAGAACATTTAAAAATTTTTGTGATTATATTACGCACTCTATAACAAATACCTAATCACGTTATTAATGATTTTTCTTTTCTTTTTTTTATAGAAAAGACATAGAGCTGATGATGAAATAAATATGAGGGAAGTTGAAGTACTCAGAGATGGAAGATGGCAGTGGATACAGTGGCGAAATGTTGCTGTAGGTGATGTAGTAAAAGTGCACAATAATAATTTCTTCCCAGCCGATTTGATTCTATTGTCATCATCAGAGCCTCAAGGGATGTCGTTTATAGAAACTGCAAATTTAGATGGCGAAACAAATTTAAAAATTCGCCAAGCACATTTAGAAACAGCTAATTTAATTGATACTGCAGAATTAATGAACTTTCACTCTAATATACAATGTGAACCACCAAATAGACATTTGTATGAATTTAATGGCGTACTTCGAGAAATAAATAAGCAAAGTGTACCATTGGGACCTGATCAACTGCTATTGCGCGGTGCAATATTACGAAATACTAAATGGATATTTGGTGCAGTAATTTATACCGGACATGACACAAAATTAATGCAAAATAATACAACAACAGCACCATTAAAGCGTTCAACATTAGATCGTTTAACAAATACCCAAGTGCTTATGCTTTTTTTCATACTTCTACTGTTATGCCTTTTTTCTGCCTTATTTAATGTTTTATGGACAGAGACCAATGAAGAAGATCTTTGGTACTTAAGTTTAAAATTTAAACATGAAGCGATAGTAAAAAAATTTGCATTCAATCTTCTTACTTTTATTATTTTATTCAACAACTTGATACCAATATCTCTTCAAGTAACTCTCGAAGTTGTTCGATATGTTCAAGCTACTTTTATAAATATGGATATTGAAATGTACCATGCGGAAACTGACACTCCTGCTATGGCAAGAACAAGTAATCTAAACGAAGAACTAGGTATGGTTAACTATATCTTTACAGATAAAACAGGTACTCTCACTAAAAATGTTATGGAATTTAAACGTTGTTCGATAGCTGGTACAATTTATGATTTACCAAATCCCACATCACCTGGTTGTAGCTCTTATGACTGTGATTTAGTTAAAAATATTACTGAATGGCGAATTAAAACAGATAATACCAGTGTAAATAATACTAAAAATTACATCACATCAGAAATATTACATGAATTTATGATAATGCTGTCAGTTTGTCATACCGTTATTCCAGAGAGGATTAATGATGAAATAATATATCACGCTGCATCGCCTGATGAACGAGCTCTCGTTGATGGAGCAAGAAGATTTGGTTATGTTTTCGACACACGAACTCCTGCATATGTTGAGATAGTTGCGTTAGGTGAACGACTGCGTTACGAAATTTTAAATGTTATAGAATTTACATCTGCACGAAAACGTATGTCAGTGATAGTAAGAACTCCTGACGGAAAAATAAAAATATTTTGCAAAGGTGCTGATTCTGTTATTTATGAAAGACTAAAATCAAGGCCCAATGAAACAAGTGGTGTAGAATTGGAAGTAGGCGATGATTTTCGTCAAGCTACCCTAGACCATTTAGAAGCATTTGCCACTGAAGGTTTAAGAACTCTTTGTTTTGCTGTAGCAGATATACCAGATAATCGTTACGAATGGTGGAGTGAAATTTACCATAAAGCAGAAGTATCTATGGCAACACGTGATTCCAAATTAGAAGCGGCAAATCTTATTGAGACAAAATTAACATTACTTGGTGCGACTGCTATCGAGGATCAATTGCAGGATCAAGTACCAGAAACACTACAAGCGCTTACACAAGCAGATATTAATGTTTGGGTATTAACTGGTGATAAACAAGAGACTGCAATAAATATCGGATATTCTTGTCGTTTAATAACACAATCAATGCCATTAATTATCGTTAATGAAAATTCTTTAGATAAAACAAGAGATGTTATTACTCAGCATTGTGCTGATTTTGGACAAGACTTACGTTGTCAAAATGACGTCGGTCTTGTCATAGACGGTAATAGCTTGAAGTACGCATTATCGTGTGATTTAAGAAGAGATTTTTTAGACTTATGTACTTCGTGTAAAGTCGTTATATGTTGTCGTGTATCACCAATGCAGAAAGCTGAAGTTGTCGACTTGGTTACAAGTAACACAAAAGCTGTTACTTTAGCGATTGGAGATGGAGCTAATGATGTTGCTATGATACAAAAAGCTCACATTGGTGTTGGTATTTCTGGCGTTGAAGGGTTACAAGCCGCATGTGCTTCTGATTATTCTATAGCACAATTTCGTTTTCTTAAACGATTACTATTTGTTCATGGATCGTGGAACTACAATCGAATGTGTAAATTAATTTTATATTCCTTTTACAAAAATATTTGTCTTTATGTAATAGAATTGTGGTTTGCCATTTATTCGGGATGGTCTGGTCAAATTTTATTTGAAAGATGGTCTATTGGTCTTTACAATGTTGTATTTACTGCGGCGCCACCGCTGGCTATGGGTCTTTTCGACAAAGTTTGTTCTGCCGAAACTCATCTCGCGCATCCGAGACTATATGCTGCCAAAAACACTACTGAATCGACATTTAATATTAAGGTATTAGATTGATTTTTTTTTACATTTATGACTATCATTTAATTTATCGATACCCACGCTCTATGTTGTACCCCGCTTTTAGAAAATTTTACATTCAACATTGATTAAATGGGATTCAATGGATGAAAATATTTATTTAAAAATAGTTATTAAACAATTTGACCTTTAATTTTTTAATATAATATTACTATGAATCTATTTTTTAAAAAAAAGTCGTCAAATTTTGTGGATTACATCTTAGAACAACGTGGGTATCGTTATATAAATTATCTTACATGGTTTTAAGTATTTTCTATATCCAATAATTAAAGTAGATATTAAAACATAAAAAAAGACTCTCGTCTTTATTATTCTATATAAATTTTTTTCGTTAATGGTATCAACTTTTTTTTTTTTTTTTTTTTAAGATTTTGATTTTTATAACAAGAAGTTTAAATTTGATATAAAAAATGCTTGGATCTACTCATGTTAGGTGATTTTGAGTAAATGTACTGGACATATTTTTAAAAATAATTTCTTATATGCTCTATAGGTCTTCTGGGTTTGGATAATAAACGCTTTAATCCATTCATCATTATTGTATTGGTTATCACTTTTGGCATTAGAAAAAGATGTTGTATGGGCCAATGGAAGAGATGGTGGTTATATTGTTTTAGGAAACTTTGTATACACGGTAAGATTTTAATTTTGAAAATTACCATTTTTTTGCTTGTTATAAAAAAAAGGCAAGTTAAAGTATTACGGCGGTTAGAATGAACGAATCAATGGCTTTTTGTTTCCACATTATTTTAGTTTCTTAAAATTATATTGTTTACTTCATTTCTGTGTTTCTCATAATATGTTTATTATAATAAAAATGTAATACTTTATTTACAATTAAGTAATCAAACTCGATAATTATATTATGTCAGTTGGATATATTATTTCCGCTCATGGAACATAATAATCTTTTTTCTTTCAAAGATTGAATCACTCCTTAATTTAATTTTTTACAAATGATAAAATCGTTTTCTTCATGATTCATAAGACATTTTAAAATAAAGAATTTACAATAAAATTATTACCTGCAGTATTACTTTAATTTGGCTTACTGAAAAAGTTGTATATCTATAAATGTATGTATGTTTTTTTAGTATGTAGTAGTTACTGTTTGCGGAAAAGCAGGCCTTGTTACAAATTCATGGACATGGGTAACTCATTTAGCAACATGGGGATCAATTATTCTATGGTTTTTGTTTATATTAATATACAGGTAAATTAAATAATTTTGATAAAACATAAAATCTTTTATTAATTTATATTAATACCTTTTTATATTTTCAGTAACTTCTGGCCAGTATTAAATGTTGGTGCTGTTATGTTAGGAAACGATAGAATGTTATTTTCTTCGCCAGTTTTCTGGCTTGGACTTATTCTTATACCTACTGCAGTTTTACTCCTCGATGTGACTGCCAAAACGTATATTTTTATTTTTTTATGTTAATTTTTCATTATTATGCAATTATTATCAGTATCAATCAATGTTTTACGACATTGACTTGACTTAATTTGATTATAATACCTTTGCATAATTAATTAATAACAATCTTCAAATGTTATTATTAATTTTGTTGATATTTTAGTGTGGCAAATACAATTTTCAAATCTCTTACTGAAGCAGCGAGAGAACAAGAAATTAAAAAATCCGATCCAGGCGATTTATTTACTAATCAAGATTACAAAAGCTCGTAAGTTAACTTGTTTTTTGCCTTTATTTAATTTTTTCACTAAGTAAATAACAAAAAAAAGATTGTAATTTATTATAAAAATCACTTTTCATTAGTTATTAGTGTGATAAGAATTGTGACTATCAGCAAGCTTGATTTTTATTTTATAAATACAAAAGATATTTATTTTTTTAACGCATGATAGTAATAATATTTATAGAGTATGATATAAAAACAGTATTTACTTGTATTAAATACATACTTAATTTATGGAAGAGATAACAATATCACAGCAGGAAAAAAAGAACGATGGTGCGATATATGAATCGGTGTTTATGTTTACTTCGATCAACTAGAAAAAAACGAACGAAAATTTTTCCGTTTACAATTGTCACATCACCTCGTTCATGGTTTCAACGTCCATTCAAGTCACAAACACATTCTTTGAGAAATTGTACTTGTTATACTAGGAACACTTTTTATTCTACCCGTTCACGTGATATTAATTACAAGATTGTCACCTGTGCATGCCAATCACACTTCATAATAGGAATTGATTAATTCATTACTTGGAAATTTAATGATTACTTTTGCATTAACTTGGAATTATCTTTGTTACAAAAATAATATTTTTTCTAATCATTGGCTAATAAAAACTAAAACTTTTTTGTGTTGTATTGGAAAAAAATTTGTTACAAAATTATGATTTGTTTTTTTGATTCATAATTATAATATTAGATTTGTCAATTACATAATAAGATAAATTTGAGTAAAATGAGGTATTTTAGTCTTCATTACTACTAATTTATTTACCAAATATAAATTAAAATAAAACATGTAATATATAATATGATTTCAATTTACAATTGACAATAATATTGAATATATTTATTATTTTTCCAAATTTACATTGTATTATAATTTTATTAATAGTTTAGTTGGCACTTTAATTTTTTATTTATGCACTTTACTGAAAATTTATAACTATTTTGTTAATAATAAGCAATAACGTTTTAATCACCATTTAAAACAAAATTTAATTGGCAGTATTGAAGAATTTTTTGAGTAAAAGTTAGTTTAATACGTTATTGCTTAGTACAGTCTATTTATTTTTTATTTAATTAATTTATTCTTTTTTTAAGGATATAGTCTGGTTCGTCGGCCATAAAAATAGGCTATGTTTATAAACGTTATTAGAGTTGATAAATGAAGTCTTAAATTACAAAAATAAAAATTTTTTTCAATTTTTTCTACACAAAATTCGTTCTCAAACGGAAGGTCATAATTTGGAGGCAAGACGGCTCCTACACGATATCTCGGCAACGACTTATCCTAAACAAAAAAACCGAAATATTTTAGATTCGGTATAACAATGGCTACAAAATAGACTCTTTATATTAATTTTGAACAATTGTTGTTAATTTTAAGTAGCAAAAACAAAAAAAATTAAACAAATTGTTTTTTTTTCGCTATTATTTGTAAAAAAAAAAAATAGTAAAAATCAATATTTTAATATGATAATCTATTTTGTGAGTATTTATGTGTAAAATATGTGGCTAAAATTTCAAAAGAATCGGCCCAAGGGTTCCGAAGAAATCGTGTTGGCCGTCCGTGAAAACGTAGTTTTGAGTTTTTTTAAATCAAAAATCTTATCAAAATTTGGTCTGCGAGCCGTCGCCTAAAACCGTTAACACATCCCCGGGAATCCTCAGATACATATACATTCAAAAAATGTAAAAAAAAAATCGAATTTTCGAAAGTGACTAACTAGACTACACCCTTAATAATATTTTGCTTTCTATGATTCAGTTTTTTTTCTGTTCATTTATGTTCAGTCAATTGAATTAATATCGCAAGCTCAATCATTTTAATCTAAAAATTTGTTTACTAATCATAATATTTTTGAAACAAAATTTTAAATATTCAATTAACAAGAAAAAATCAAATTGAAAAAATTTGAGAATCATAGATAGTTGAAATCTTTTAGGTTGATTAGTAACAACATTTTTTTTAATCATTTTTTATTCCTTGGTACTCTGAAAAGTGGTTATACGTACAGGCCTGTGCATGCGATTGCTGATCTCGCGAGGTGTAAGTACTTGTTAAAGTAGATGATGTAAAATTAACTTTAATTACACCTTTTATTATTAGCTAAAATAAATGTTCAAGTAGATTACATTCATAATTGATGACTAGCTAGATTACGATGCATGATCTGTATTTTTAATTTTTTGTGTATGACCACGACGAAATGTATTTTTGCATGGCTATGCTCGATGAATCGTAATTACACAGCTGCACATTCTTGTTGACATTGCGCTGATAATTTTGCAAATGTATAGAATTATTTTAAACTATATTTATTTGATGAATATTGGATCAACAATGAAGATGACATCATTAATTATTTACAAATGATTATTTATGCACAAAATTTTTCAATCGTATCACAATGCACGGCTTCCAGATTGACGGAGACTGCGAGGCTATTAAAAAACGTTAAAAGTGTTTTCACTCGACGTGCAAATGCCGCTACCCGAGTCAATGTTGAAGTGGAATTATCACGTAAGTTGTTGAATGCACTTTATTTATTAACTCTCCAATGAATATTGTCAAAAAATTATATTCAAGAAGAGAATGGAATTCTTTAAACTGAAGATATCGAAATTGCATTCTCTATTGAAACCGTTTTGACAATAACTCTGACAAATGTTAACCAGTTGCAGTTGTCATTTATAAAAAATAATGTTGAATACCTTATTAAACTTCCGTTTAATATGAAATGATTAATAAGACATTATTTTAAATGATTAAAATTTTCTTACCCTTTAAATCATTTTTAATGCTATTCCCTATGAACATTTAACATGTGAAATAATTTTTAACCATTTGGTTTAAAAAGGGATAATTCATTTACATTTTTTTATTTTTTGAGGGCTTAGTGGTTGAAAAAAAATTTATTTTAATCTTACAAAAGTATTGAAATAATTCAAGATCAATTTTTTAAAACTTATAAAAATTAAATTTTAAAAAAGAAGACAAAGGAAGAAGAAAACTAAAATTGATTTTGAATTCAGAATGTTTTTTTTTTTAATTTAGGTTAATTAGTATATTACGACCCAAGGCCAGAAAGTCTGATTTCCTGGCGTATGTGATATGATGGCCGAGGCGTAGCCGAGGCTATCATATCACATACGTCAGGGCATCCAACATTCTGGTCATGGGTTGTATACTATTTTTCTTGCTCTCCAGCCGAAAGTACGCAACCCCGGGGAAGGGGTTTTGCAAAACCGAGGCGAAGCCGAGGTTTTACTGGTCGGGGCGGGCATAATAAAAAAGTAAAAATTAATAAATAAAAAAAAAATAAGTTATTTTAAAGTTTACTAACAAACGCTCTGATTAAGAGAGATAACATGCACAGAACTTGTCACAAATATTTAAACTCGATTTAATAACAGAATTAATTTTTTTAAGTTGATTAAAAATTATTTTTTAATTAGACAACTAAGAAAGATTGAAATTAAATTATTAGAAGCTTGTAGAGTACACTCGGCTTCGCCTCGGCCAACAATTACATGTGGTCTGAGACTTTTCTTATTTTACTGGCCTAGGTATGTAATATACTATTGGAGCAACTACTGATTATGAACTTTTTCAAATTTTCAATTTTTTTTCTATCAAAAATGAAAAGAAATAACAGTCAGAAAACATAATTATTACTTCTAGAAATAATAATTTCAAATTGAAATTTTTCGAATGAGTTGTTTTTAACTATATGATAAAGCATCGTATTTTTGTAAGAAACTTAAAAATTAAAAATAAGTCAGTTTTTTTTTTTCGCTACCTTTATGTTTATTGAGTAAAAAAAAAAAATTGTTTAAATATTTGATAACACTGAATAATCTACCTACTGGTCTCTGTTAATCTATTTGCCTGTTTCATGCAATGTTTTTCTTTAAATAGTGCACCTAAAAATACAAAGATATTACTAATTGATAAAATTACTTCACAATCTATACTTAAAATTTTTAAAACAGTGAAATGTTTCTATCAACAGCTTTGAATAGTTTTTTCACATTTTATATTATATAGATGTTCTTTTCTTTATAAAAACTTTGATATTATTTATTATATTATTATGTTTTTTTTTGTTTTTTTTTTTTTTAATTTGTTTTAAAGTCGCATAAACTACTAAGGTCATGAGCGATTATTACGGTAGGGGGTAAACTTTTGAGATTGGAACTCGTTTGTATTTCTTGGGCTGAGCAGAATAATACACTTAAATATTGAAAATATTCATTGGTGTACGCCGGATTCGAACCCGGTCCTATGCTTTGGTAGCAAGGGCCGGATCCGATAGGCTACTGCGCGCCTATTATTATTATGTTATATTCGATATATTTAATAAACTTTTACGTTGCATGTATAGTCTTCGATAGTTCAATATCAATATGTCTAGTGTAAAATAAAATGAATTAATTTTGTTAAATAAATAGATGGATTCGCATTCTCTCAAGAAGAAGGTGGGACAGTCACTCAAACAGATGTAATAAGAGCATATGATACGAACCTTCCGAAACCTGGAGGCTTGTGATTTTAAAATCACTTCTCACAAAACAAACAAGATATATAAATAACAATTCGTCATCTATTTGGTTGGAAACAGCATAAAAACATATGGAATTTACACTACATATAATTTAAACTCTACTGAGTTACTTTCAGCCATAAAGCGAACCAGTTATAATCTATATGTAATAACTAATAACATATATTCGGTTCAACAAGAGTTATATTTTATAAAAAAAAATACCTAAACGTTATGATTATTCAAGTTTGCGCATTTTAATCTTCATATTAATCTAAATCGAGTTGATTTATTATTGCATTTTTTAATATGATGGATAAAGAATATAAAAGAATGATTATTCTAAAGAAATACTTGAAGTTTCTCAAAAATATGTGAACTCTACATAAAAAAATGAAAGTAAATGATCTAATGATCAAGGATTCTTCGAGAGTTGTTATGAAATAACAGAAATAACACCGATAAAGTGACAATGACCTTAGCTTGATAAAATATAAAATAAAAAATAAATTCGTAAAATTATTAAATTATTTTTCTATTTCCATGAAAGGTCGCATTAAATTATCTAAATAAATTATATAGGCTACACTTTTTAACTTATTAAATAAATTAAACAATAAAAACGTTTTTTATTCTCCTATATACTTGTATTATTGTCTGAATATACAAAACTATATAATATTAGTTTCATTTAATTTGTTTCATGAAAATGAAACATGATGACAAATGATAATATAATTATATAAATGTATAATATGAAAATACTACGAAGCAATTTCAATTAAAACCACTCATTTGTAAATTAATAAATAGTTTTATTAGTATATTTTTTAATAAATTATAATAATTGATCAAGTTACAACAAAAAATATGATCGTAAGTTATTAATTCAAATGTGAAAATATAACACAACACAATAGACTGGTTTAAAGAGATAACTTTATAAATATGTTAATAATTGTATGTAAATTTTTACACTTCTAGTCCAATGCATTATTTTTTATGCATCATCAATCATCTGGCAAATTATTATTTGCTGTTACATCGTCTAAACATTAATGCATATGAACGTTTCATGGCAAAAATGTGTTTTTTTTTTTTGAAAATGCTTTAATAACAATAAACAGCAATTTTTAATCATTTTGAAAAAAAAAATGATCGATAATATTTCTGTATGCGAAAATTAATTTTTTTTATTGTTTTGAATATTACAATGGATAAAAATTTTTCTCATTTACATGACACTTTTAATAAAATTCTTCGTAAAAGTATTTTTAAATTTATTTGTCCAAAAGTTTACTAAAAAGCTATTTTCATACGAGAATTCAATCTCTATTTTTTAATTGAAATATTATATCCTTAAGAACGAGTCCCATCATTTTTTCTCCTTGCACTCATCGATAGAAACCGTTCTATCTTAGACGCACTCGCAACAGCAATAGCTATTGCAGATTGATCATTTTCTCTTAAACAAATAAAAATTTCGAAGAAAAATACTCTGCTAAAAAAATAAATAATTGAATAATCTATCGAGTAGCAGATAGTTTTTTCTAAAATTTTTCTTTGTTTCGGAGAAATTCATGAACTTACAGTAGCTAGGACCGCCTCTTAAAGTATATATTCCAGCGCAGATATTATAAAATATCAAGATCCTCGAAATTAATCAAGTCACAATTTAGCCCAAGTAAATCTCATTCATTGAAATTACATAAATATATAATTAAACACTATATTTTCATTTTTAATTTAACAGTAAGGATCCGACAAAAAGTGGAAATTTTAAAAATTGAACAAGAATAATTAATAATTATTAAATAATAATTTTTTTAAAATTGATGTATATTTTTTAAATTGGCATTGATTTTAATGATAAAATATTATTCTGTTAACTTGCGTTTTTCGTATTATTTTGTGGATTTAAAGGAACTGAACCTTCAACTCAACTAATGTTCCGTGTACCAAATTTCACTTTTGTGCATTATAATTATCCGTATAGAGTTTCGGCATTGCTTGCAATAGATAATTAATGATATAATGATATAATCCTGACATGATTCGATTAAGAGCAGCTTACGTTGCAGGATTATTTGCAAAATCCAAAATTGTAGATATTATAATAATTTCAATAATAGTGGAATTTTTTTCTTGGTTTCTTTCATCTAATTGAATTGAAATTTCACTAAAATCGACATATATTAATAACATACAAATCAGAAAACTTTGATTATTTTGAATCTCTTTGACGTTTTAAGTTTTAAGTAACAAGAGTTTTCAAATTTACTTGTCTATATTTTTTTTTAAGATTAGGCTGTAATGACTATTTTAAGAAATTTTGAATTTTCTGATTTCCAACTTTAATTAAGGAGAAAGTAGAAAACTGAAAATTCTGGAAATACATTGAAAGTGCATTTACTATACTGCCCACCCTCAAGTTCCTAAGTTTATTGTGTATAGATGAACGGAATATCATCTCAAATTTTTTTTCATATATTTTGTACATAAATATGAAAAGTTATGAATTAAATATAATAAATAAAGAATATTATTTAATTTTTAAGTCTTTGTAAGTGACTTTGCAATGAGAAAAATAAGATAGAATTATTAAAATAAGTATATCTTATAGTAAAAAGGTAACAATGGAGCCGAAATTAAAAAAATATTATATTTTAAGCTTTAAATTTCTAGTTTGGAAATATTTTAGCAAAAAAAAAAAAATTAATAACAGCGTTGACTTAAGAGAATTAAAAGAATGGTATAAAAAGAAAATTTTCTGAATTTTTAAAATCACATTCAAAATGAATGGTTTGAAAAATTGTTTTTGAATAGCTTCTAAACTACTCAATCTTTTTATTTTGAAACCTACTGAAATTGGTTAATTTATCTACGAGCTATAGTCTCGGAAAAATTCGAAATTAAGGGGGAACACCACTGTGACAATAAAAAAAAAAAGAGGTGATTTTCGGGAATTTTTTTGACAGGGAAAATAAAGGAATTTGGGGATCGGATTTTTTTTATTTTATTAAAGGTACATTAAATATTATTACCGTAAATTTTTATTAAAAAATATTTAATTAGAATAGAATAGAATATCGTTTTTATTTGTATCACATATTGCGTTTTACAAAACTGTATCTTAAATTATTTATTTACATTTGCATATACACTATTTTTGGCTTAAAAATCAACTGCTTTTACTCTCTTTTAACTTTTCACCCACCTCATCCTTCATATCACAGTCGCATTACAATACTATTAATACTATTTTATACTTATTTCTAGTATCCATCCCTGTATATTAATAACAGCCTTTTTCTGACATTCAATATTGTAATACTACTCAATTTCCTTAAATAATTTTTCCATTTCTCTAACATATATACACAGCTCCCTATTTATTTCCCCTTTTAAAATTATCACTAATCTTTCTCTTGTTAATTCCCCCTCTAGTTCTTCCATCCACTTGTATCTTGCTTGTTGCCCTTTTTCACTTATTTTTTCCATTATCTCTGAACAGCTTAATAAATGCATCAGTGTCTCCTCCTCTTTCTTGCATATTCTGCATTCCCAATTCTTTTGCCCTTTTTTTCCGCTTCTCTACAGATTTCCACATCTCGTTCTTGCCCATACCTCTTTGTACTCACTATTAATTCTATCTTTTTTCCAATAGCTGATTTCACTTTCTTGTAATATATCTTTGTAAAACTCGTTATATCTGGACTTTTCTATTAGCAACTTTTTCTTTTTTTCTAGTTTTTTTTTTTGTATTTTTCCAGTCCCTCCTTTATTTTTTCCTCTATTTCTTCTACATTTCCTCCCTCGTATATTCCCCTAATAATTTCTTCTATGCCTATCACCACTAGAAAATTCTCCACTTTTTTTCCCCATTTTGTTGGATTTTTGTTGATTATTCCCCTCATTTCTTCTTTCATGCATATCTTAAGATATGGCCATCTGTTATTTTCAAGCTTCATTATATCTACCAGATACCTGAGTGCCCTTTCTTTTAATATATACTCTATGTGCTCTATTCCCAATTCCCTTCTGATGATGTAAGTTGGTGTATTTCTTGCTACCCCCCAGCGCCATTTTATTCACTTTTTTATATATCACTTTAATTTTTTCTGCATTTTCCCACCCCCATACTTCCACTCCATACATACATCCTGCATTTACCAGTGAATTATATAGATAGACCCTGTCTCTTGCGTTATTCCTGTCCGTCCTCTTTATTAGTCCCCAGGTAGCATTAGCAGTGGCGTTCGCCTTATTCACTAGATCGTTAACATGCTCCCTGCTTAAAAAATATTTAATTATTACAAAGTTATTAACAATCTCGTAGAGCACTAGAAAAAATTTCCCCTTCCATGGTCGGTTCGATAACTCAAAAACGGATCACTTAAAAATAAAACCACAAATTTCTTTTTAATCAATAAGAATGTAGTTATCGTCGCATGTACGGAGTTTTGAAAATTTTAATTTTTAAAGAAAGGGGGACTGATTGAAAATTTTTTCACTATTCTTACTGTTTTTTTTTTTTGTTTTAACCCGGCTAAAAAAATCTTTAAAATGAAAATTTTTTTAATTTTTTAAAAATTTATTTTCAATAAAATAAAAAAAACCCGATCCCCAAATTCCTTTATTTTCTCTGTCAAAAAAATTCCCGAAAATCACCTCTTTTTTTTTATCGTCACAGTGGTGTTCCCCCTTAATAGTTTGTGAAACGTACAAAAAATTTGATTGCATTCATTTTTTCTACGAAATTTTAAAATTTTTACTGCCAAGGATTCTTTTTTCTTCATCGGTAAGTAAAAACTAAGATTTCCTCGACGTTGATCAGTTACCATATGTATGTAATATACCAATTATAAGTACTATACACAATATATTTAGGTCTTCACGAATATGTAAACAGCTGTATCGTACACAAAAGACTGCGCTTATATATCAAATTATTAAAGATATAAAAATCAAGTGACGTGGAATGTATCTTTTGATATTTTAACGTTGTTTCATTCCATATTTTTTTATTATTAATTTATAGAAAATGTTATAATGATTCCCCTTGAAATAATAAGTATTTTAATTTTAATTTTAGTATTTACTTTCTTAGCGGTAAGTAAAAAATGTTTAAGGTTATCTTTTATTATTGACAGTTAATCAGTTGTAAAATTATATTTTTTGATTTTCAGATTTGTACTTATTTGTATATAAATACATCAAGATTTCCAAAGATTAAACGATATGAAGAAGAAAAATCTTTTTTAAATCAAAAGACTGGCAAGAGAGAACCTTTTCCTTCTCTTCATGATGAATTCAATTTACACCTCAGTGTTATTATTCCTGCTTATAATGAAGAAACACGACGTGAGTTTAAAAGTTATCACAATTTTTTATTTTTTATATAGTTAATTTAAACAAATAACTCATTTTATTTTAGTCAAGCCTATGTTGGACGAATGTCTGGAATTTCTCGAAAACCGAAAAAAATCAGGATTAACTTATGAAGTTATTGTTGTAAGTGATGGAAGTACTGATAAAACTGTACAAGTAGCCCAAAATTATGCTAAAAAATATGATACTCTGAGAGTACTTGAATTAATTGAAAATAGAGGAAAAGGAGGTGCTGTGAGACTAGTAAGTTAACTTTAAGAATATTATTTGATGATATAACTTCTATACTACTATAAATAATGAATTTGTATAAAATTAAAGGAATCATTTTTTATTTTAATGATTAGGGTATGCTCAGTGCTCGTGGTAGTGTACTCTTATTCGCTGATGCTGATGGTGCTACAAAATTTAGCGATCTTGATAAACTTGAAGATAGTATGAAAGAGATTTTGAATTGTAAGTTCCAACCTATAGAATTTTTAATTTTTTTAACAATTGAAATTTTTATATTAACATTTATCACTTATTCTTCTTTAGGTGACTATAAAATAAATCCTGAGAAAGTTGCTAATGCCCATGCCGTTGTTTGTGGATCTCGGGCTCATCTAGAGGAAGCTGAAGCAGCACGAAGATCTTTTTTTCGATTAATTTTGATGCATGGATTCCACTTTCTAGTATGGACACTCTGTGTTCGTCATGTACGTGATACTCAGTGTGGTTTTAAACTCTTTACTCGTGAATCAGCAAAAACTTTATTTGATGCTCTCCATGTTGAACGCTGGGCGTTTGATGTAGAAATACTATACATAGCACAAACATTGGATATTCCCATTACAGAAATCGCCGTGAACTGGACTGAAATTGAAGGTTCGAAAATAATTCCTTTTTGGAGTTGGTTAGAAATGGGTTGTGATTTATTATTAATTTGGCTGCGATATAAAATACGAGCCTGGAGAATAATACGACCGAAAAAGTTATAAATTGTTACATTATTATTTTTACAATAATACTAAATTTACTATAAAAAATTCACCTATGATTAATAGTTATTTATATTCCGTACATCTTTTTTTAACTATCAAACGTTATTTTCATATTATTCAAGTTATTTTTATGAAATCTTTAATTTTGAAATGACTAAATTTTTAATTTATTTTTGAAATTATATACATATTTCTTCATTTTTTTCATTAAGTTAAATCTTTTTTAGAAAGTGTTCAAGCTAAAAGTTACTGCAAGACTTGAGAAAAATACAATTAATACGTCATATTTAAAATTAACAAAAACTCGTAACGCTTTTAAAGCTCTATGCAAGATGTATTATTTTAGTTTTAGTATTGTCCTTAAGATTATGCAGAAGTGAATGGATTTTCTGAAATTTTATTTTTTTCTTACTTTTTCGAAAAATTTTTAAATGAACTATTATAAAGCTTCCGCAAGAGCTGGTCATTTTTTATTTTTTTAATCTAATCTATTGTAATTAATTTCTGTATTTATTTGAGACGTGATTAGAAAAATATCTAAAAATACATTAAGTATTAAATTGGAGAAAAAAAAAATATGTTTGCTGTCAACATCCATAATAAATAAAATAAATATTATTTTCTTAAAGAAATTTATAAAAGTTTATTAAATAATATGACAAAATTCGCAGGTAGTTGGAAAAAATTAAACAGTCATGTTATTGTTATTATTGCGACGTTTCGACTCTTTATTGAGTCTTCATCAGGCTCTGAAAAATACATATATAAATTTATAAACAATCCAATTTTCTTATGCTCTATTACAATCTTCACAACAACTATAAAAAAATTATTTTCTTACCATAACCAGTACATGAAAGTAGTCAATTAAAATAATGTATGTTGAAAAATAGTTAATCTTGAAACACATTCTATTTTTTATTGTAACTAATTAAAAAAAATTTTTTTTTTTTATAAAATAATTTTTGTAAAAAGAATTGGTTTCAATAAAGAGTCGAAACGTCGCAATAATAACAATAACATGACTGTTTAATTTTTGTCATTTATTTTTTCCAACTACCTGCGAATTTTGTCATATTAATTTTGTGGTTTGGATGCGAGTAATAATGGAAATTTATTAAATAATTTTATTTTAACATAATTGTAATAGTGATAATATTTATAAAAATTGCCGGATAAAATTTTTGAATGTCTCAAACATATTGCTCCACGTGACATTTTTGTAATGATGAAACTTAAGGCTTTCTTTAAAGTGAAAATCACGTGATATATTCCAGTAGTTTTATTGGTCCAAGTCATCTTTAGTCGTGTGTCGCAATGTTATGACGTAGTCTGACGTAGACCTGATGTCATAAAACACCAATGAACTATCTTTCCTGCTATTTCTCACCGAAATAGGCGTAGTATTTCTCATCACATTACGTAGATCATTTGAAAGTTTTTCATATTTTTATTGGATTTTATTCAGTTTAATACCAACTACTATCAAGAAAGTACTGATGGCTTTTCAATCACCAATGCCGAGTCGTGAATTTCTTTGGGATGTTTTTCAAAGGTAATATTTATTTAATATTGTCATAAACAATTCAAGTAATATTCGGAATAGTAATAAATTTTAAACAAATTTATCATTTGTTCTGATTTAAATCATGCATTCACAATCTGTAATTTAATTTAAAAATAACCTCAAAATTGTTATGTATGGGTATATATAATTAAAGCATTATTTACTTTTTTTTTTCATTCTAACTTTTTATTCAATTAATTTTAGAGTTGACAAAGATCATTCTGGAGCAATATCTGCTGAAGAGTTACAACAAGCTCTATCTAATGGAACGTGGACTCCTTTCAACCCGGAAACAGTTCGCTTAATGATCGGTAAATACTTTTAATTCCTTTGGTGAATTGAAAATTCAGGTCCTATGAGTATTACTTTATTACAATGCAAATTTTTTTATTTTATTTGAAAAATAAAGTAGTACGGTGAAAATATTTTTATAAAATTGCATTCATAGTTTTGTTTTTTTTTTTTTTTTTTTTTTTTTATATTATTAATGGAATTTAGTTTTTCAATTTTCTTTATAAAAATTTATCTTTTAAAATAATTCTTATATTGAGCAAGATCAAGTCAAGTGGACCCCCCATTTTCCACTTGATCCTGAAAATTAAGTCTATATATTTTTTTTTTTCAAGAAGTCACAATGATGAAATTACTCTCCCAAACAATTAATCAAAATTTTCATTTTAACAACATTGACAATAAATCCTGAAAATTTCATTAATTTATCTTAAACGGTTGATTTGTAATCTATTTTTTAATTAAAAGTACTCAAAATTTTTATTGTAAAAAAAATTGTTAAAATGAAAATTTTGAAAAATTGTTTAGGGGATTAATTTTATCATTGTGACTACTTGAAAAAAAATTATACAGACTTAATTTTCAGGATCAAGTCGAAAATGAGGGGTCCACTTGACGTGATCTTGCTCATTATTATTTAATTATTTTTAATGCACAGTAGTTAAGTATATTTAATCTTAGTAAACTTGATATCTTTTTTAGTTATAAAAATAAACTTAGACTTTATTATAAAGTAGCTATAGAGGTAGAAAAAATTTATTTTCTATTTCAATAAATTTTTTCAATTGTTTATGTGCACCAAAATTAGACTAGAGCCAGAGAACATGCATGGAAAATATAAAATTAATTAACTAAGAATTTTCCCTGGTTCTGGTTTTTTTTTGTCCGTGTAGGTATGTTTGATACTGAAAAATCTACTCCCGATCCTTCAGGTATGTTTGACAAAAGTGGAAATGGAACAGTCAGCTTTGACGAATTTGGAGCTCTATGGAAATACGTCACTGATTGGCAAAATTGCTTCCGTTCATTTGATCGTGACAACAGTGGAAATATAGATCGTAATGAATTGAAAACTGCGCTCACTAATTTTGGATATCGATTGTCTGACGGATTAGTTGATATGCTGTTGAGGAAATACGATCGGCTTGGTCGAGGAACTATTTTTTTTGACGACTTCATTCAATGTTGCATAGTATTATACGTAAGTAAATATTATAAACTTTCAACCATTTTTTTATTTTATTAGATTAATAAACATTTAAGGAGATTCAATATCACTACTCATACAACTTTAAAATGTTTAAATTTTTATTTTTGAAAAATGGATAAATTAAATTTCTCTACTAAAATTTGATATCGATTTGCGGTACCGTTTTTGGGAAATTAATTTCCAAAATTGCTTTTTATACTCGTAAAGACACATTAAGAATCGACAAGTTATTATGAAATCTTGTGTAGGACCCGCACGGTAAAATAGAAATCATTTTGAATTACCAATACGAAATATCTAAAGTTTATACTTAGTGTTTTATTTTGATATTACCCTGATAGCCATGCTTACTGAAAGTTGCTGTCAATCTACGTCCGGAATCGGCAATCAACTGAACGTAAAGACTTAAAAAAGCCAGAGTTTCCGTAAAGTTGACAGTAGAATGGTTGACCACAAGCTTGATATTAACTTAAGTTAATAGCCACCTTACCTATAACTTAGTGTCAATCTACGTACGCAATTTGAAGCAAATTTGACGGAAAGAGTTGGCAAAGCGAGCGATTACCTATTAGTTACCTATAACTTACTCTGCAAATAGACATCAAAACTTACTGTACAAGTATTTCTGTCAAATTGTAGTACAGTTAAAAGGAAATTTAACTACAAGTTTGATTGTTAATTTGTATTCAAGTTGCGGCCGTAGATTTCCGTCAATTTGCTTACAACTGTTGTTGAGTGAAGAATTACTGCCAACTTGATGTTAAGTTAACCGTAACTGCTAGAAGTCAACTACTTATTGAGAAAGCGCTGGCTATCAGGGTTGTAGTCAAATTCCGGCCGTAGATTTTCATCAAATTGAATACAAATTTGATTTAGATTAAGTTTCTGTAAACTTTGCTAAAAAAAACCGAACTGCATGTTCTTGCATAAAAAGTGAGGCTATCAGAGTATATTCGAGTTGAACCTTCTTAGATAAAAACGTGGTTTTGAAATTAAACTATTCAATTTTCTTTCTTCTCATTTCAGACATTGACATCTGCATTCCGTAAATATGATGCTGACCAAGATGGTGTTATCACTATACATTATGAACAATTTTTAAGCATGGTTTTTAATTTAAAAATCTAACTTAAGACTAAACTCGAAGTCTGCCAAAAAGATGAAATATTAAATATTAATCACAGCTTTATTTCATCACAATATAAATAAATGATATATATACAAACAAAAAAAGATATTTGAAAATTCAGAACTTTTAAATCTTTCGATTCAACATTCCTGTTGTCAACTTTCAACTTGAGTTTAATAATTCAAAACTAAGACTTCGGAGTATTATTACTTACTCTCATAAATAAACGGTCTAATTGCATGTTAAATTTATTCGATAAAGATTGTCAATTCCATCCGCTTATCAATGTTTTGCTAAAATCAAAAATAGGTTTTCAATATATTCTTTATATTTTAATTAAAATAATTCTATTTTTTTAAAAAATATAAGGTGTTTGAGATTTCCATATACAACTCTAGTATTTAGTTATACTTTGTAAATTTAAAAAACTCTTGTATACATATAAAATAATAATAAAGAACTTTTTTTTGTTTAAGTATTGGTAAATTAATTTAATGTTCCCCAGGTTTACTGCAAAAAAAAATCTTAGATTGAGTGTAATTATTTTTGGATTCAAAAATATATTCAGTGATCAAATTTTTTTAGAAAAAGCACAATTTTTCTTAAACTAAAAAAAAATTTTTCAGCTCAAGATAACTTTTATTTACTCAAATCCATTTTAGTTTTCTTGGTTCAAGTATATTTTTGATTCTGTGTACATAATTTAATTATTGTTTTCGAAAAAATTGAACCTAATTGTAGGGGATTTCTATCTACTACTAGATTAAATTAAGGGTGATGCAAAAATAGAAAAGAGAAACATTCGTTCAGCTAAAGAAGATTAGAGGTTGTAATGTGAGAAACTTTTGTTCGCTATGTACACTAATTTGTTGGGATGGGACACGAAAGTAGAATGACTCCGCCTTCTTGTTGGCTGTCGTGCCAAAAAAAAATTCGTTTTATTTGCATTCAAAACCTATGTTATTGTATGAAAAAAAAAAAAAATAAAATAAAATAAATAAAGTAAAATTTCATTCTTGTGATAGTATTTTTTTTTTTAAATACTATTAAATTTATTTTGGTTAATAATACCATTTAAAATTTATTAAATTCTTTTCTTCAATCTAAAATAATTGTGATACGCTAAGTCAAAGACATTTGTTTAACAACTGACAGATAGAAGATATTCGTATTACAATATATATTTTTATGAGAAAAATTATTAAGTGATAATGTAGTAATGAAAGTACGTCGAACTCACGTGAAAAGAGTTTTTGATACAATAGAGACTCCGCCCTCAATTTGATGCATATCTCGGCATTTTGCCAAAGTTAAGTTTTAAGCATACGTTAATGTAGCCAAGTTTGTTTTTACGCGTGGGTGTAAAATGTAGGAGGTTCTTGAGAAAACCACACCTTAGTTAATCCCTCTCTTAAGCAAAATCTGCCACTTAAAGTTTTGGAGTTAACTTCAGAGTGACTTCCGGAGTAGGAAGAAAGGAACAAAAAAGAGCAAGATTAAATTTTTTAGGTGTTGAAATAGGATGTATTTATTAAGAAAGATGAGAATAAGATAAAGAAGAAAACAGTGTAATTTCTCGGAGATGGTGAAGATGAGTACAAGTGAGAAATACGAAAAATACAGTGGTTGAGAAAAGAAAAGAGAGAAAATGATGGGCCGTTGATAAGCTAAAGCAGTTATTCTCGTAGAGCACTTCTGTCTGTCGGTACATCTCGGTAACTCTCTTCACTTCAAGCTATTTATGCTTCTTTCTCTTTTTCATATTTACAAGAAACAGTATATACTCTGTACTGAGATTTTGAACTCTGTCAGCGATCAGGTATCGAGGTGAGGACATTCTCTGTCCACAGTATACGCGACCCTCGATGATGCTTAAACTCATCAAATATTCGGTCAAGTTCTTGCCACCCGCTAAAACTTACAGATGACTACACGATTACACGATTATATACACGGTTATACGATTACGCGATAGTGTCTAGTCATTTATTGTCTTAATGACATTTCCTTGACAATTATTTGCGAGCTGCTAATAATTAAGTGTCCTTAGTTTAAATAAATAAGTTAGTATGCTTATTTTGTGAACTACTACCATCGAATTTAATTCAACTATTAATAAATTAAAGATTCTTGTGAGAAGAAATAATTAAGTGTTACATGATTTGTGAATACTATTTCTAATAATGGAGTTGCATCAGCAACATAATGAAAGACACAATATCACTGCTGATTGTTGCTATCAATGGTCAAACCCTCATACACATCATCATCATCATCATCATCATCATCAACTGCATCATCACCATCAACCACAGCAGCTGGTCCAGCCTTCACCAATGCAACAAATAGAAGGTAAACATTACATTTACTTTTTTTTTTTTTTACATTACTTTCATAGATTTATAGAAAAAGTTTCATTCATTTGATGATATTGTGCAATTAATAAATTTATTTATTAAAATAATCATAATAAAATAACTAATTGATTAATTAATATAAAATTTTTTTTGTTGGTGTAACATAGTGTAAAAATTACCGTTTACTAAAGAGATCATCATTCAATGTAGCCAATTTTAAACCTTGCCAGTTTAAATGAATCTTCTTTTAGACGACCAAAATACGTTTGTTCCCTTGTTCCATTTGATGTTACTTAAAGCAATTTCATTACATTACAAAACATACAAAAGTGTACCTGATGTTTCGACGCGGGACAGTAATACATCTATTCAGACACCTTTTTTTAACACTCCGTTAATTTATTATCTTATAGCACAACTATTAATTTCATTAATTTTGTTTATTCAATGTGATGCTTACCAATAAAAAAAAAATTGAAGCTACTAAAATTATAGCATGCTTGGAAACCGCCGGAAGAGCTAAACGTTCACGATCACCGAAAACTTCTCAAATTACTGCTGAAATATCTTCAACACCTTCATATACGGAACCGTGCAATGATAACAATAATAATCATCGGACCAGCAATGATTCATTGGGATCATCGTCTTCTCCGGAGAACAATAATTCCAAAAGACCTCTTCATCATGCTCTTATCGGTGTTGGCGCAGCACTTGAAGCACGACCTCTTTGGGAAGAATTTCATCAATTAGGCACTGAAATGATTGTAACAAAAGCCGGAAGAAGAATGTTTCCTACTTTTCAGGTAACTTGTATCTTTATTATTAGTATATAATTTAAAATTGACATTAGTATAAATACAAATAATAAATGTATTTTTTACACTTTAGTGTCGACTTTTTGGGCTAGAACCCAACACTGATTACCTCTTAGTAATGGATTTTGTGCCTTGTGATGATAAGAGGTATAGATACGCTTTTCACAGTAGTGCATGGGTAGTTGCCGGTCGCGCAGATCCAATTTCGCCCCCAAGGATTCATGTTCATCCTGATAGTCCTGCTAATGGATCACATTGGATGAAACAACCAATAACCTTTGATAAATTGAAACTTACTAATAACCAACTCGACGATAACGGCCATGTGAGTTACTTTCAATTTCTATACACGTGTTTTTTTTTTTTTTACGAAGCTTTTAAAATAAAACTTAAAAAATTAATAAATTTTAAAATTTTAAAGCTTGTCTCAAGATTTCAAGGGGAATAAGATCGTTAGTTATATTACTTAAAAAGCTAAAACATAATAAAGTATACAGTTAAATCGCACGGCTCCACGTGTTTGTCGTTTTAGACGAGTTCCTCTTAATTGACCTAAGATATGAGACACTGTCAAGAGTCGAGCATTTGAAGAAATTATAAGACTGCTACGCGTATATTATATCTTTCAAGCGTGTGCCACACTATACTTTACAAGCGTTATTTATTTTCAGATAAAAAACTATAAAATATTTAATTCAAGACTTTATTTTTATTTTACTATTATTTTTTTTATAAAAAAGAAAGTGTTTATTGTAATAATAATTTAAATTTTGTTATTATAGTGAGCAGAGTTCTTTCCGGTTACTTTAACTCTCGAGTTTCGTTCTGTGTAGTGTGTTTTTTCTCAAGTATATACACCTAATAGTAAGTTTAAAGTAAATATTATGAACTTACAAATATTAAATTGAGATTTCGTATCAAATAATGTTTATTACAAAAAATAACCTGTTGATAATTGATAGAGCTTAAGAAATTGTTTATGATAATATTTTAGAAAAAATATCACGACCGCAATGAACATGAAATTTACATAATTAGTTTTAACGGTATTGAAGTGGTACAAGTAATGATCCAATCTATAAATTAGAATATTCAAAAATATCAAAAAATTTCAAGTTTTAAAACGAGATAAATCTCTGCACAACCCGTATCTATTATTATTATTTTTTTTTTTTTTTTTACGCCTTTCTTGAATAAAAAATGGTACACTTATACATACGAACCGACCCGTGAAACGCCAGTAAAAAAAAGTGCAGGACAAATTTGGTATGAGGGTGTGGTGATGGCTCATAGATATTGCTTGAAGAATATATTATTTTCTTAATAAAAATAATTTTTTTTTTTTTATTAATTCTACTTAGTAATTTTGTTTATTTTGGTGAAAAAAATAAATTTCACGATCGAGTAAATCAATGGAGTAATATTGATTTTTGAGTAATTTAATATAATATAATGGACCACACGCATGGATGCTTGGACAAAGTAGTCTGTACTGTCCTTTATAGTCGAATTCTTTACGCATTTATCTTTGAATTCACTACTACCACGTGTGCTACAAGCAAATGTAGCACGTGTGTTGTAGCTCAAACGCCTTGAGAGTAAGTAAAGTTAAATAGTGAGATAGAAGAAGGGTGTCAGATTGCCGTTCATTCGACTTGACTGAGCTCAGAGGTTACTTTTTATACTAATTAGTCACTGGGACTCTTCTGCCTGTCAAACAACGCGACCGCCCCCCGTCGAGCCTTTTCCTTTTCATGTAAATATATAATTCTTCTTCCTCATAAGCATAAGTATCTAGTTTCCATATACTTCCTTTTATCTGTACTTTGATTCTTCATATTTCTATGAAAATTAAAAACCGATTATTTATTATTTTTTTTCTTTTTTATTCCAGATTATATTAAATTCAATGCACAGATATCAACCAAGGTGTCATGTAGTTGTTGCACCTTCACCACCAGGTTCAGGTCCAGATCCTCGAACAGAAAACTTTAAAAGTTTTTGTTTTCCTGAAACGCGTTTCACCGCTGTGACGGCATACCAAAACCATCGTATTACGCAGCTGAAAATAGCTAGTAATCCGTTTGCAAAAGGATTTCGAGATTGTGAATCTGATGAATGTGAACCCCCGAATTCTACAATACACAATCCTGCTAAAAGACCAGCTACCGCTAACGTAACTATTTCGCCGACCAATTTTTCATCGCTTATTCCAGTGGTGCCTATAACAGCTAGCATGACAAGCCCAGAACATCATCATCAATTCTATACGAGTCCTGCTTCACATTGGACTTATCAAGGACATCATCAAACTAGTCACAGTACTGGGCATTATGTTTCTCATCATTCATCTGGATCTTCACTTTATGGTCCACGATAGTGAAAATTTAGTGTTATATATTTAATGAAATTAAATTAAAAAATATAGAAATAATTATCCCAAGTCCAATTTGATCTACATCTTGTGTACTGATGCCAAATAATAACGATGCCAAAGTAAATTTAGTAGTTATAATTGCACAATCTTTTGCTTTTATTAGTATATGCTTGTTATTATCATTAAATTTTCGTTTGAACTACGTCATTCAGTGATATATATTTTTTTTTTTGTTATAAATATTTTCACTGTTCGCGCGACAAATTGAAAAAAAGATATAATTGTGCTTATTTCGAATCTTTCATAATATTAATTTTAATAATTATGTATGTATATAGAATATATAGATATTATTGATTATTGAAATCTGATGAATATAATTAGGATAATATGAATTCGCTAGAAAAAAATTATAATTTTTCATTGACATATTATCATACACTATTTTGCTTCAATTAAAAGTAAAAGATTTAAGAATTTATGGTTACGGTGTTTGCGAGAATAACGAAATGTAAAACAAAGTGCCTTTTGTAGGAGCAAAGTGCGTCTATTTATACGGGGTGTCTTAAATACCAAACGAGCCAAAACTCACTTCGGGCCAAGTAAAGATGAGAACGTAAACGTGCCGTGACAAACCCCTTTAGCAACAGTTAAGTGCCTTAATAAATTATATTTGTAAAATTCTTAAGTTATGTTTACTATACATCAAAAAACTTATCAAACTTTAAATTATAAGACAATTAATTGATTTTAAAATCGTTATGTTATAAAATGTTTTTTAATAAATTTTATAAAGAAATTATGATTGTATTTCAATATTATTACAATGCTTAAGTACATATTACACTAATTAAAAATAATTAACTTGATTCAAGAGAAAAAAATCTTGAGTCTTTAAAATCATTCTGGAGAATTTCATTGTCTCGAATCAAATAAAATTATTCTTAAACAAAGTAAAATCTATTTAAAACAAAAAAAAATTTCTCAATTCAAGAATTTTTTCTACTTGTTTCAAGATGGTCTAATTCTTTAAGACTATTTCTTTGTATTTAAGATTTTATTTCTTAATTCAAATTAATCTTTTATCAGTGTAGCTCATTAATGTCATTGATACTTAATCCTTGATCCTTATCTATAATTATGAAAGTAGTAAGATAATAAAAACTTTTTTTTTAGATTTTAAAATATCGGTTTGTCAAAACCATAGTGTATGAGTTTACATTTATTCTGACAGAATATTACAAATGACAAGAATTACCAACATTTGTTAAAAAAAATTTATGTAGCAATCGAGGAAAAAAAACTACGAAAATTGCAGGGATCCGTCGGAACTGAGAAGATTCTCATATAACAGACCAGTAAAGTTAAGTCTCAACAAAACATATAATGCAAACAGAGTTGACACCAACTGGCAGTGATTGATGAGAGTGTAAAGAACAAGTTTGTGTAAACATATTATTGTCTGAAATGTCGGTTGCGTATAAGAATACAAAAATTTATCTATTTAAGAATTTATTGTTGCATTAGTTTCTATTACCAATTATTAATATATCTCGTGCACTATTTTTACTTTTTTTATAATACACTCACTTTAATTTTGGAAAAAAAAAAAAAAAATAGTAAATAAAGACTAACTTTTCACAACTTGAGTGTAAATATTTTACTGGTAGTTTTTAAAAATAGTTCATTGACAAAGCAACATGAGTGCCAAAGCAAAAAATAAGTACAGAGATGCTAAGAATCCTTTGGTTGCATGTCTCCGCATAGTAATAAAATTTTACAGTTTTATCTGACGTATTGACCTGTCTCTACTGTCACGTGAACGACAACTTGTATTCCCTTGATGAAAAATATTCAAAGCAAAGTAATTAAAATTACGATTATAAAAAATCAAAGGATGCGCAGAGTTCCGGGTAGAGAATCGTTTGCAGTTTATTTACTTTTTTAAGTAAAAAAAAAGTTTAACATCTTAACTTTTACTTTTACATACTTAGACTGATGTTAAAGCGAAGAAAATAAAATAAAAAGGAAGTAGTCGTTAAATTTTGGGGTACAAAGTATAATATACTACTTGGGGGGTTTATCTTGCAGTGGTTTTGTCTTCTCGGTACTCATAGAATTTTTTAGCTGCATAATAGTTAAAGTATGTCTGTACATACACACTGTTTAGAGTAGACGGTACATACGAACGTATGTCAAAGCTTTTTTTCTTTCCCTAACTTGTCGTTTAGCTTGCAGCTCACGTGAAGTGACAGTCAAAAATATATTATATTTTTTTCTGTACTAAGTTTGTCAAGTCAACAACAAATAACGTGTGTGTTGTGTTATATTGATAAATACGACATATTAAGTCTAACCATAATAAATTAAGCTTGAAATTAGTCATTTTTTTTTCTATTAAAAATTTTTTTATTCAATTTTTACACTAAAACTAGTTGTATAGGAAGTGAAGTAGATGCTCTTTTGGTCATTAATCCGTCGTCACCGAAGTTCATATTAATGCTTAATGCAATTAATCTCTAGGATAAACTCGTCTCAAAAATTTATTTTATGCTTTTTGTACCAAATTTACAGCAAAGTTGTCTGAATATCTATCAAGTACATATATCATGCTTTTGTATGCTTTTTAGAATCATACTCGTAATTTATCGTTAATTCACTCAACAGTTTCATAATTGTATCTAATTATTATCTGTGCTGTATACTAGAGAAAATCCGGTTATTAAATTCAAGTAGAGCTTTACACCTATTTTCAGTCATAAAAAAGGAATAGAAATTAAATTATTCATATTTTTTCTGATTTTTAGTTTACTAAACAATTGAATTTTATATAAAAGATTTTTATCTTTGAAAAAAAAATAAGATTTCGATCGTGTTCAATAAATTAAAGATAAACTGCATTAATCATCTAATCCAACGTCATCATCTAATGTATTCACCCAAAATAGTAAAAATTCAAAAAATTTACATATCAACAAGTTTTTTTTTTTTAATAACGTTATAAATCGTTACTACACTAATTCTGGCCATAAAATCAAAATATGATTAAATTTTTATTTAATAAACACAATTTTTTTTTGGAAAAATCGAAAAATATAAAGTTCAAAGAATTGTGAACTTTTCGATTAAATAAAAATTTATGTAAAAAATTCTAAAATACCGAAAAATTGAGATTTAAAGAATTTTTTTTTCTATTTTTATTTGCATAGAATACAAAAATTAACTAAAAAACCCTAAACTTCTTTGGATAAGTTTTATTAAAAATTTTCTGTAAGTAATTAATTTTTTTTTTTTTTCATTGTAAAGCTTAAAAAATAATTGAAAAATTTATTTTCAACTATTTTCATAATATTTATATCAAATACTTTTTTTTTTCGATTTTTTTATTATAAAATTTATAGTGATTAATCCCACTTTCAAATCCTTATTTTTTTTTAATTTTCCTACTTCTATATAATTACCGATAATAATATTTATTTCTCTTTTAAAGGATTGAACCATAAACAATAGTCTTATATTATATTATTATAAAAATTTTTTTTTTCATTATTCATACATAATGAATAAAACTTTTCAAGCAAATAAATTAGTGATTTTTCAATCATCATCTCTAAACATACAGTGTTATGAGTAATCTACAAATATTTTTTAGAGTTGTCATCGACTTCTCAAGTTGGGACGATTACATATTTGGTTCCGGTCCGTAAGATATACAACGATTTCGAGAAACACCGGAATTGTGCATGCACATCACATCACACAACCGCACTAGTGGGTAACCAAAGTGTGCGTGAAGTAAAGATTCTTAGATTCTGGTACACGTCGCGACGTTAGTATGAGCTCACTCCATAGATATGGTTGCAATGACAGATTTACAGATTTCAGCTTCCGTTTTCATTTTTATTATTTTTTCTCTTTCTTTTCTTTTGTTTGTTTTTTAATTTTGATTAACCGTTTTATATATCTGCAGAAATATACTTGAATCTTAAGTATGGCGGGAGGAAAGTTTAAGGGAAAAGAAAAAGTAAAATAGCCTCTTTGAGGTTCCCTCATTCTTAGACATCAAATCACACCTCTCGTGTTTATGTTTCACAGTTAAAAGTTTTAAGTCTGGTTTATTCTTGCTATAGAGCTCTTCAGTATTACTCCCGCACTTTTATTTTGAGTTCAAGAGATTCATTTCAAAGGAAGAATGTCCTCTGCAAAATGATCATCAAATTTTATTCTGATTAATTCTAAACATAACGACAGTCAATATCTGAAGAAAAATTTATTATGCGTGTTCAAGTTTCTCTATTTCTCATTGTCAAGTAACAAGTAAGTTTTAAATTAAATACTAGTCTGATAATTAAAAAAATATAAAAACCAGTTATATCAAATGAAGAAATGATATATAAATAATGGGTTAATTTAAATAAAAACAAATGCTTATTTATAAGAACATATAATCTTACTACTTTGTTTATTTTTATAGTAGAAAAAAGTAAAAAAAAAAAAAAAGGGAAAAGCATTAGTTCTTCCAGTCCCCATATCAAAGACAGACATTGACCATGTAACTTAAAAAAAAAAAAATTAGGTGGTGGTTAATAAACAACTACCCATGATTTCGAGAAATTTAAGACAGTAAGTAATGTGCTAACTCTATAATGTAGATTGAAATAAAAATAAATACTTACAGTTTTAAAACAAATACATTCGAAAGACAGAGAAAAAAGGGGATGGACCCTCGAAAATTTTTCCTTCTTAGTTTATATCAAACGATTAAGTAAAACGAGAATAACAACATTAGATATACTCATTTTGCCGTTAGTTTACTCAAGAGACTCATTTTGACTTTACATAAATGATCAAGAATTTTTTGAAAAAATGAATCACGACTGTATGCAATAGAAAATTTAAAGAGATAATTTATTTACAAGTTTAAGTTGGAAATACAATTAATAATGATCGCATACAAATTTATAATTCTCTCTAAGCGATATTGTAAGAGATTTGGGTGTGAA